CAGCATGCGAGCTCAGCGGTTGTGACTCACGGGCCCAAAGTGCGCAGGCTTCAGTAGATGTGGCACACGGGCTTGGGTGCTCCACGGCATGCAGAATCTTTCTGGACCAGGGATCAAACCTGTGTCCCCTGCATTGGTAGGTGGATTCCTATCCACAGTACCACCAGGGAAGTCTTTGTCTAGATTCCTATTTGTATTTTTATGTATGTGGAAGGTTAGTGACGTTTCTTGACCTTGGGAGAAGTGGCCTCTATGGGGGATGTCCTCTGTGTCCCAGCAGTACACGCCCCTTTTGTCACCAAAGGGCCAGGGACCAGGCGGTTCTAGGGCAGGTTCTGACCTGCGTTTCTGGACTTGGTTCTGGACGCTGCTAGACTGTAGTTATTTTTGCTTCTGGTGTCTGCCCTCTGGCGGGAAGAGCTGGGACTTGAGCCTGATAATGACATCATGTGCTTTCTACTACTCCTTTTACAACAGGATTAGTTTTCCTCCAGGAATGAAACAGAAACATGACTTCAGTTAAATCTTGCCTTTTGACTCTGCAAACCAACTTCTAATTATGATTTTTATCTGTTGGAAGTGTTCCATCTCCTTGACAAAATGAAATTGTCTCAGAATGAAGTGAAAAGACCTTTGGGAAAATGTGAAAGAAATTCAATTAACCTAATCTTTGCTATCATAAAAAAAATCCCATTCCCCTCGCATCCATATTCCAAATTTCATTTTAGCTCTAATTTTTATAGTGAACTCATACATAAACATGGGCCAGTGGACTGTTAGGGTCTATGAAAATGGTGGCTTGGAGGCCAGAATCTAGATACACATTTATACATAGTAAGAACAGCTACTTTATCACCTATTTCCATTGGCTGAATATGAATATATCAGTGTCAGAATCTGATATACAAAGTGTTTGTCCCTAGCTCCATAGTAATGTACACCTCCCATAGAAGAGCTTTCACAAAGTATTTGAGCTTCTGAGAAGGTAACCTTTCTTTGTCTTCTGTCTGTCACTGTCTCCTCAGGAGTAAGTATCTTTAAGGCATTCAATCTGCTCACTTTGTTCACTCACTTTAGTCACTAGTCTTAAAAAAAAGTAGCCAGAAAAGGTGGAGCAATCAGGCTATCTTCTTTTAACTGACAGTGTGGTAATATCTGTTTTTTGTAAGATATTATATAATTATATAAAATATCATACAATTAATTTAAATAACTGTACATAATATTATATAAAATTACAAAATATTATTAAAAAATTATTGTGATAAAAAATTAAAGTATAGGCTTCTCAGACAAATATTATTACTACAAGAAAAGTATACCAAGATGAGTTGAAAAACTTTCACAGTAATAGCTTTAGAACATAGGAATGCATTTAACCAAGTGCTTCTGGATGTATTAAAAAAGTAATTCAGAATAAACATTTGTCTTATAGAGAGTATAAAGTAATTCAGATTCTCAATAGACATGAATTGCTTCTTAAAAACTTGGATAGATTATGCATTTTGAAGGCAATGCCAAGACAGAGTATTTTAACACTTTTAGAATTAGATTGTTGTTCAGTCACTTGGTTGTGTTCTACTCTTTGCAACCCCATGGACTGCAGCATGCCAGGTTTCCCTGTCCTTCACCATCTCCTAGAGCTTGCTCAAATTCATGTCCATTGAGTCAGTGGTGCCATCCAACCATCTCATCCTCTGTTGTCCCCTTCTTCTCCTGCCTTCAGTCTTTCCCAGCATCAGGGTCTTTTCCAATGAGTTGGCTCTTTGCATCAGGTGGCCAAAGTATTGGAGCTTCAGCCTCAGTCCTTCCAAAGAATATTCAGGACTGATTTCCTGTAGGATGGACTGGTTGGATCTCCTTGAAGTCCAAGGGACTCTCAACAGTCTTCTCCAACACCACAGTTCAAAAGCATCAATTCTTCAGCGCTCAGCCTTCTTTATGGTCCAACTCTCACATCCATACATGACTACTGGCAAAACCGTAGCTTTGACTATATGGACCTTTGTTGACAAAGTGATGTCTGGTTTTTAACATTCTGTCTAGGTTTGTCATAGCTTTTCTTTCCAGGAGCAAGTCTCTTTTAATTTCATGGCTGCAGCATTGTCCACAGTGATTTTGGAGCCCAAGAAAATAAAATCTGTCACTGTTTCCTTTGTTTCTCCATCTATTCGCCATGAGGTGATGGGGGCAGATGCCGTGATCTTAAGATTTTTGATTGTTCGAGTTTTAAGCCCACTTTCACTCTCCCTTTTCACCTACATCAAGAGGCTGTTTAGTTCCTCTTCACTTTCTGCCACAAGGGTGGCATCATCTGCATATCTGAGCTTATTGATATTTCTCCGGACAATCTTGATTCCAGCCTGTGATTTATCCAGACTGGCATTTCACATGATGTACTCGGCATATAAGTTCAATAAGCAGAGTGACAGTATTCAGCTTCGACATAATCCTCTCCCAATTTGGAACCAGTCCATTGTTCCATGTCCAGTTCTAACTGTTGCTTCTTGACCTGCATACAGGTTTCTCAGGAGGCAGGTTAAGGTGGTCTGGTATTCCCATCTCTTTAAGAATTTTCCATAGTTTGCTGTGATCCACACAGTCAAAGGCTTTAGCATAGTCACTGAAGCAGAAGTAGATTTTTTTTTCTGGAATTCTCTTCCTTTTTCTATGATCCAACAGATGGCAGTTTGATCCCTGGTTTCTCTGCCTTTTCTAAATCCAGTTTGTATATCTGGAAGTTCTCAGTTCATGTACTATTGAAGCTTAGCTTGAAGGACTTTTAGCATTACCTTGCGAGCATGTGAAATGAGTGCAATTGTGCAATCGTTTGAACACTTTTGGCATTGCCCTTCTTTGGGATTGGAATTGAATTAGTGGGGCTTAAAATTAGTATACACATTTTTCAGTTTCTCCTCTTTGCTTTTGGGGAAAATTATGCTTGGTCATGTTTTTGCTTTTCATTTTGCAATCTGATGACTTCTACTTTTGACTAGTTTCTGTCAATGTTCAATGTCAAATTCACTTTAGTATCCCTTTTATTATTGATGTCTCTAACACTAAGGTATAAAGCTTCAAAAATTCATCTGGGAATGAAAAGTAGTCTTTTGTTCCTCATAAATGTCTCAAACACTTTCTAAAGCCATAAAAGACTCCAAGTTATTCTTTAGAGTGGAGACTTCTTTAAGGTTGTAATTGTTTTCTCTCATGTCCTTTTTAAAAATCACAAAAATATGTAACTTGCTTAAATTGCAAACGTTTTAGATGATGCCTGTTTCTGATTTGTGCACATTATTTTCCACTCTCTGGAGCACAAGTGAAAGTGGAAAAATGTTTTGAACTGAATGAGTGACAAGGGCAACTAAAAAAACATACTGGCAAAATATAAAGGAGAAAAAATCCTCTAATGAGAATATAACATAATATAACCCTTAAAAATCTGGCTAAGGAGTTTGTAGTCCACTGGGTTACTCCAAATGCTTCAGTATCTATCCCCTTCCTTCCTTCCTTGGTACCTGCTGCACCTGTAGAGAGAGTAATGGTATTGTTGTACACTGTCTCCCCTTCAGAAGGATTCTTGGGTTAAAGAGCTGGAGAAAGTTGTAAGATATGGACAATGTGAGCACTCTTACATCTCTCTGCTGCCACACTACAATGATGCTAGTGTTCACAGTATCATAGGAGAAACAAAGGAGCATTCTAAACACTGTGAAATCTGTGATCAAGTCCTACCCTTGTTCTCGATGGTAGACACTGAGACTCACATAATCACTCTAAGAATTGGTTTTATCATCTCTAGAATGGGTCCGAATTATTGTTCTTAACAAAGCTATACTGCTGATTAAAATGAGCCAACAACTGTTTCAGAAAAATGTAAAACTATAATGTAGATACGTTATTCCAGTATTTCAAACTTAGTAAAATGTTCTTCCTAGGGCAGGCTTTTCATAAATGTTTGGTGAAGGATGACTGGTGCAAAGTTTATTATTGTGTTCACATGACCAGTGTGGGCTCTGAGGGAGTATGTTGGGTGAATGGGGTAAGTAAGGGTGGGGAGGCTTACAGTGACCCAGGTGAAGCCACTGTCCATCCTGCTCTTGCCTTCCAGAACACATTTCCATGAGCTGCATCCTAGTAAGTGTTTTGTAAAGGGAAGTCTTTCATATAGGACAGAGATGAATAAAATTCAGAGCTTTTAAAGACCTAAATAATATTCTTAGTTTTTTTTCTTTTTTGGTCCATAGAACTGGTTTCTTAGATTTTGACAATTTAGGTAAATTCATACATTTTTGCTCTAAGTACACACTGCAACATACTATATTTCATCAAAATACAATGTTCCTTTCACATTTTTGTGTGAAGAGGGTACAAATGAGATTGATTTTTTTTTTTCTTTCTACCACCACTACACATTGTCTAAAACTCCGTTGTAACACCTAGTAATAGAAGTTTGTATGTTGATTAAGCACTTATTTGCATGTCTGTATCCACTAGACTCTAAGATCATAAAGGAAATAGTGTAGCTTATTCACCTGTTTTAACCTAGTGCATCCTGAATTTCTAGAAAATGATTGGTATTCATCAATTGATTCAAAGAATGAATGAGTTAATCAATTCCCCACTGATCACTAAAACAAGGTATAAAATAATGCTTAACACTGAAGTACATTTACTGAGCATTCATCCCATTTCTCCTTTCTTCTTAGCTGGATTGTGAACACATGTCTGAAGAGGTTTAGTTCATATGTGATATGAACTGGTTTAGGCATTCCTGTGCCTTCTTCTAAGACCATACCAAAAATGTTTCTCAAATCTTCCTTTGCTTAATTGTCTTCTGCTTTTGCTGCTTGCAAAAGCAATGATTAAAGATAAGTCTGACCCATGGGAATGTGAAGGGAAAGGAATCAACTAGAAGAATAATTATTTAAAAAAAAATTTCTCACACTACGCTATATTAGTTTTAAGTTAAGTTGCAGCAGTAAATGTCCCAGTTTTCTTACCTTGACATGTCTTTCCATTGAGCATGAGCTGATAGCCAGGTGGACAGACACACTGGTAGCTCCCAAAGGTATTTTTACACTCATGCTGGCAGGCGTCTGTATTTTCACATTCATCAATATCTGTGCAGAAAGAAAGCATGGTATGTAAGTGCACAAAACAAAGGCAGAAACTGTGACAGAATCAACTATTAACAAGCTTTTGACATACAGTAGACAACTTAGTGATTTTATACTCAGGTGTTTAAAAATGCTCAAGGTGGTTTCATATCAGGATCTGTTTTTAATGGAGTCCAATATAAGCTGTCCAGTATTATAAAATGTGAACATCTCTTTTGTGTATAAATGTATTTGAGCTGAAACTCCAACCTAGCCAATTTCAATGTTACTTAAGTAAGATTAGAACAACAGATGAAACAACTGTGCAAGATCCCAAACCACTAAGGTGCTAAACTCTGGACAGAACAGTAGAATTTACCTAAAAGATAGTTTCTATTGAGGTTAACTGGAAAAAGAAATATTCTTTTCTATTTTATTTAAACTTTAGTTGCCTCTCTCTCTCCAACAGCCATGTATAACTTTCCCATCTGCAGATATCATTTAGTGGAGGTGGTTTTATCTTTGCATTATGAATATTTATCCAGCTTATACAATTATAAAGTATTCCACTAATGACAACTACATATACATAGTTGTTCTGTTACTTTGGGCTGGCCACTTAACTTCTCAAGGTCTCAGTTGATTATTCTGCCAAGAGGAGTCATGGACACAATCTCCTTATTTCACACAGGTTTGTTGGAAGGTGCAAATAAGATATGAAAAACATTTTATAAACTATAAAGAGCTAATCTACCTGCTATCACTAAACAAAATTAAGAAAACAGTAATAAGAAGGACAGTTAGAAAGACAGTTAAAAATTAATTGCTATTTGTTTCAGAATCACGGATGGGATTTGAGAGGCCTAGATTTACTGACCCAACTGTGTTCTGCCTAATAGTAAAATTGGCCAACCAGTGTTAGAAGAAAGAGGAGAAGATGGTATGAAATGGGAGCAGTAGGGCTGTGGGCTGGAAGTAAAGGGAAGAGAAAGTGAAAACCTAGAGATGACTCAGAGCAAAAGAACCTGTTCATTCTGCAGATGCTCAGATTATAACGGCAATGACTCAATCTGTTAATGACAAATACTCATCAAATATTTGTCATTGTTTTTGCCCCATTTTAGTTAACCAAAGCATTCACTGCAGCACTTGAGTTATTTTTACATTTTCCCTTTATAATCTGCTTTAACAAAAATAACAACAGAAATGTAAATCATGTTGAACTCCATTTAGTTTAAAGTGGCCCCAAGTGTGATTTCTATGTTCAAAAGCAATGTATCATTCATTTTCCCTAAGAAGCTTTGGAATAAAGCCCTTAAAAAGCTAAATTTTAGCCCAAGTCTAACAAAATGCCATGGTGTTAATCTGAATCTTTTGTAATCTGTCTATCCCAGATGGTTAATTAAAGAAAGACATTTGGTGTTTACTGCAAGTTGCTTGTTACATAATCCCAAAGCTGTCTGCAATCATAGTGTGAATTTCTTTATTAGTACAAACACTATAAAATATTCACTGTATTTTAAGAAATATTTCTAAGCCTATTCAGCAGGCCCCAAGAAAACTTAAATATCCAGTAATAAACTAGTTACAGAAGTTAACTTTAGATTCTCCAAGACTGGTCCTTACTGTGAAGTAGCAACTTCCTCGCACAGTAGATTGTTTTGGGAAGGTAATTCACATAAATATGTTAGTATAATATAAACACAGAGACAAAGGAAATGTCCTTTTTTTTTTTTTTTACTGCAATGAAACTACAGGGCATAGATTGTGATAAACAAAAGGAGACTTGGTTATCAATTAGGGATGCTTAAAACGATGGACCTCGAGATGATTGAGAAATCAACTAGATGGTGTACGGTGTAGGGAATACTGTCCCCCTCATTTATCAAAGCATAAGCAAAGATTTTTGGTATAGAAGAGAAAAGAGTTGTCTGAAACAAAGGCAGAGAGTGGGATGTCAACAGGATGTGAAAACTTGTCAGTGGGAATGACTATTTGGAAGAAACTTTGAAAAATGAAACATTAGATGTTAATTCTGTTGAAAGTGAAAAGTTTCACTGATAAATAGGTCAAAACTGAATTGTGGGCATAAAAAATTACCCATGAAAAAAGCCCAATCAGAACGGTTTGAAGTAGGCTGAGAGCAATGTTTGATATACTCCCAAGAACAGCAGTCCACATGCTTAGTATTAATAATTAAGTAGTATTTGACCATATGTGGAAAAATGTTGAGAGTTGTTAATGAACGTATGAATGTCTCACATTCAAGAGGTAAAAGAAACGAGCACTGTCCACAGTTCAGGGAAGCTGATCACAGGTAGAAGAATCCATATACATCATATTAAGCTTTAAGTACTTCAAGACAGCCAGATAGAAAAGTTCTGGGCACATCTGGGGCTAAAGAATAAAGGTTTGATCTAGAGGGTTTGTAGGTCCAGAAGAGTGGAGGTGATATGAGAAGCTGAGTCCACCTAACAGTGACAAAGGACGCATGTCAAAGAAGACTATGATGCAGGAACAGGACTTGGAGAAGGGCAGAAAAAGAAATGACAAAAATTGAAGTGAGATGGTATTTTTTAAATACTTAAAAGAAATGTTTAACAGAGAGCACATTTGGGAGAGAATAAACGAAGCATAGAGTACCTAAGAAAAATGCAATAACATGAGGTTGGCATAGGGGTCTTCAAATTTAAACAGAATTTCATTCTTTCCCCTCTTGCCTCCCCGCTCCCTTTCGTTCTTGTTTTCTTATTTCTTTGACCAAACTGCAGGGCTAATTTGTGCTTGCTAATTCCTATCAGCGTATAGTTCCATGGCGTGCAAACTGTGGACACCCACAGGAAAGTGAATTATGTGAACGACAGATGGAATTGTTTGCAATTTAACTGAAGGAAAGGGTCTTCATTCTGGAGTTGGAAATTGCACTTCACTTTTGTAAACAAATTAAGTTACAGACTTGTAAATTTAAAGGTACTGAAAGCACACAATTTAGAACAATGGACAAAAGTTTTGTCCTGACTTACATTATCTTTTCAGTGACTCGCATACACAGAAAATAAATCAAAGGGAGAAGTTCCATGGGGAGTGTGGAACTAGAGTCAGGGCAGTGTTGTATGTTGTCATACAGAGCAAGCAGTTGACACAGCAGCAGAGAGTTTCACTTTTAACCCACTACTTTGGCGTTCATTGGACAAAACCATAATCTGCTAGTACTGTATTACAGTGGTAATATGCATATTCTCTTTTTTGAAAAAAACCATATTCTGAATGCCACTGCATTTTGCTTCTATATAGCATTAAATATAGTAACACTTTCAGGGGCGATCACAGAAAGAAATCGCCAACATAAAACAGTAAATTATCAGAATGTACACATGTTAATATATCACTCATCTGAGAAAACTGGCGATAGGTGTAGGTGCCAGAGCAAATGTCTTGAAGCTTTGAGTCATCCCATATCTGAAATTAGGCATAGGTCACTGCACCCAGACTCTCACGGGTGCTTACATCTGCTCAGACTTTGGTCCATAAGAGAACCCACAGAAAGGAAATGGAATATGGCTGACATTTACCTACACATGAGTCAAGGCTCGCCTCAGAGCCTTCGGGGCAAGTTTTCCTAATAGTCCTTCTAGTCCTGGAGAGAGATGTTCGGCTGTTCCTATACTCTGAGTAGGAGCTGTAGAGATGTGAGTACTGTCTGTAATGCTGTTGAGGTTGATAGTTGTTTCTCATGGGGGAGAAGCGTGCAAGGTTATAGCTATTGTATTGACCGCCATAATTTGGCAGCCTCTCCAGTCCAGCGCAAGATTTCCCGTCCCCTAACAAATGTTGTCCTGGTGGACAGATACACTTGAAGCTGCCAGGGGTGTTGAAGCACTGATATGCACAAGGCTTAGGCACTTGTTCACATTCATTAATATCTGCTCGTGTGCCATGATACATAAAAAAGAAAAAAAAACATACACACATATACACACAGAAAACACAGGAATAAAGAATCAGTCTGTGAAACAAACTGAAAATATCATGTTACCTTCCAAAGCTGGGAATACAGTAATTTTTCAATTGCTGTAAACTTTTGAAAAAACTTTCATCATTAAGCTATAAATATATAGAGAGATTCTATGATTCTCTCTAAAGGCTGCTTTACAGTAGAAACAAATAGGGTTACAATGAAAAATGTGATCTTGAATCCAGAAAAACTAGAGTTCAAAGCTAATATAGATCTTAATTTTGTTGAAGAATGCAATCATATCTCTAGTTAGAGTTTAATTATATTTTTGATTACTTAGGGCTTCTAATCTTTCATATAATTACAAGTTTCAGATGCAGGAATATTGGTACAACTACAATCAGTTTTATTTTCCTTTTTTCTTTTGAATCAATAATTACTTATGAATAATCATGCTAAGCACATTTTCTTACCAAAAATTAAAAAGAAGGAAATGACACAAAATCATTCTTCCTAAGAAACTCACAAAGTTAAAAAATGAAAGCTATTCTTCTTTCCTAGATCAACACAGAGTATGTACTCACAACACATCTTGTAAAGTGAATAAATACCAGAGATCAAAACCAAATTCTTTAATTCATTACCAAAGTACCATGAAGGAAAACAACATAAATAACTAGAACGAAGTAGTAAATTTTGCTTTAATAATTATTTCAGTAGGCAAAAGTTAAAATTAACATTTTTAATCTCTTTAAGGCAATGGCCCTACCTTCTTTACAAATTTATCTCCCAGCCCAATTTCTGACATTCAGCTTCAAGTCAACAAGTGAAAAACTGAACATATTTCATTCTGCTAGGTCCCTGTAATAACTGATCAAAATGTTAAATTATATATAAATTACAATACCTAAATAGAAGACTAAAATGACATGCATTTCTATTAAACAGTATTTATTTTAAAAGAGTTCATAATAATGATACTACTATAAACATTTGCTATGCACAAAGTACTATGCTAGGAACTACATAAAGACAGTACTAAATTTTTATGGAAAAATTCACTATAAAGACAGGACAGGCTTGTCTCTTTGTGGCTATAAAGACAGGTTGTCTCTTAAATAGATAACCAAGGCGTCCAATTTTAAAAGTATAATAGCATGCAAACCAGAAGCCAGTATTTAAAAGCTCAACACAATTTTTTTGCTGCATGTAAATGTAAATATTCTGAGGTAAAATATTTTATAGGTCAGTTTCTTGATTATAAATGTGTTAATTTTAAAAGAGCATATGGTTCCCTTCTTAAAGATATTTTCTACCTACCTGCCTTACTTTACACTCAATTATAACTGAGATGAAAACAAATAGGCAATTGGAAGAATTAAATGAGATTCTTAGCACCAGGAATGGTATATAGTATGTGCTAAATATATGGTAGTTAAAGTGCTGATTACCAATTCACTTAAAAGGTGTTCATATTTTAATCCCTTGTAACTAAACCTTCATAGTACATACAAATATACTTCACATTCAAATAAAGTGTATCTATACAAACATATCATGTGCATAGCAAGACAATGAGATAATCTTCATAATTAAGTTGTCATGGTAATTATACCACACCTCACTTTGATATGTGTAGTTTATAGTAAGCATTCTGTAAGTAGTTATTATTATCACTTGAAAGTCAGTGTAAGTCCCACTCAATATGAAGTCTCTAAGAAGTGATTCAAACTGTGTAATGGATTACTTAAACCAACTTACTCTTCTAAATGTAGCAAGAAAGCATTTGAAGATACAGTGGTCCTAACCAAGATGGTAGGGGTGGGTAATTACATTAACAGTTTTATTAACTCAATAAGAGTTTCTGTTAACTTACCCAAACAGGGTCTTCCAAGTCCTTGGGACCGGTACCCTCTTGGACACACACAACGATAGCTGCCTCTTGTATTCTCACATATCTGGTTATATCTGCATTGATGGGTCCCATCTTTACACTCATCAACATCTATAAACATGGAGGCAATAAAAAGCAATAACATTTCCTCTTTTAAAACCTGAGGTCACTATATTTAAGATGAACATTTTAATTGTTTAGAATGTTGCATCTCTTACCATGTGATTGAACCCTGGAGTCAGAAAAACTGGGTTCAAGTCCCAGCTCTGTCACCTATTAGAAAGCTTAGTTGCTCAGTTGTGTCCAACTCTCTGTGACCTCATGGTCTGTAGCCAGCTAGGCTCCTCTGTCCATGGGGATGCTCCAGGTAAGAATACTGGAGTGGGTTGCCATGCCCTCCTCCAGGTCACTTATTAATTGGCTTCTTTTCCTCTTTCTGCTCCCTACTATGGACAGAGTTTTGTTCTCAGCTTTCTCTTCCCTTCTCTATACCCCTCCTCCTTTTGCCATCTTATTTATACTGTTGACTCTAATGAGCTTCCTGATGTAGATCGAGAGCAGTAGTGCCACACTGCTTCTTATCTACAGGTACTCAGATTGCTAGCTGCTAGCTGGTCATCTCCATCACCATATTTTACTAGAACTTCAAACTCAGCATGTTCAGAGTACAATTACTCTTATCATTACTCTCATTTATGATAACAGCATTCTGTTTCCCAAACTGTAAACATCAGAGTTATCTTTAATTTATTCCCTAAATTTCCAAGACTGAGTAATTCTACTTCTTTCAAACAAAGCCATGTATCCCCGTTTTCTATTTTCATGTAGTGATATTTTTGCTATATCTTCTTAAACAGCTTTCTGATCTTTCAGCTTATCTTATTTCTAATTAACCATATACAACTAGAGTCGATATTCTTAAAAATAGTTACAGATAACTGTATATGATGCTATGAATTGGCTACTATTCATAGGAATTTAGAAAAATATTTACCTGTATCCATATTGCTGAAAATGGTCTTTGCAATCTGATAGTCCACCCTCCCATTTTTAAAAAAATATACTAAATCTCCTTGTATCTCAACAAAGATCAACAAGTGGTCACTACTCCTTCATTTATATCTACAATCTCCCCTCTCTCTTAAATTATTTTGAGACAAATCCAAGGCATATTTTAACTTTATTAATGTTTCAGTACTAAATTCTTAAAATGTCCCATTTTAAAAATGAGAAACTTCTATGTTCCTCAACAGAAACTCAAATTTCTGTGTCATTTTAAGACTTGTTCAAGGTCAGATAGCTGTTAAGAAGGATGAATTTTAACATGTTCTCCCTAACTCCAGCTCTTTCCCCTTCATACAGGGCTATTTTTCTTTCCTTTTACTACCACCTCCACATATTAACATCCCATTCAAGGATAATTTAAATATGATCACTTCCATGACATGGTTGTTAGTCACTCCTATTAGATATGAGCACTCTTTTGAGTACTCTTAAACAATTTTATCTGTACCTCTTTTTTTTTTTTTAAATAAGCTTTCTTTAATTTTTGGCTGTGCTGGGTCTTCGTTGCTGTGCACGGGCTTTCTCTAACTGCGGGAAACGTAAGCGACCCTCTAGTTCTGGAGCACGGGCTCCTCATTGCAATGGCTTCTTTTGTTGCAGAGCACAGGCTTTAGGGCACATTAGCTTCAGTACTTGCAGCGCGAGGGCTCAGTTTTGGTACATGGACTTAGCTGCCCTGAGGTATGTGGGATCTTCCTGGACCAGGGATTGAACCTGGGTCCCCTGCTTTGGAATATGGATTCTCATCCACTTAGACCATCAGGGAAGTCCTACTTGTACCTCTTTTATGGCATTTCATCTTATATTAATGTTTTCTTTTTTTTTCCTTTTGGTGAGGCAAGTGGAGTTGGCTGATCTATCCCAGGCGATTGTAAGTACATGAGGGCAGGGATGCTATCTGCTTCAGTTCTGTAAATTGTGAAGCTCACAGTTCCACCAACTATGGCAGACTAGCACAGAATAGGCACACAAAAAACAAACTTAGGGAGAAATATAATTTACTTCATTGGTCATTGATTTAACATTTAAAGAATATTTAGTTTTAAAATAATTATATTTTGAACTTTCAGTAAGTCTCTACAAACAAGTTTTTCTTAACCCCTCCAATGAAATCTTAACATATATGCTAAATTTCATTAGAAATTATGTGAGATAATATTAATGTATGTGGATATTAAACTATATAAACCAATTGTGTAATCCATGGGAGCTCAAAATGGTCTAAGTCTCTTGGGTGAGCTTTCATTTCCTGGTATAGTCATGATGCTAGGACTTCAGAGCTCAACCATACGAGGAGTTGGTAGTAAAAAACCTATAGAAAAAGATATTTCTTTGTTGGATGAAATTTATTCTAATCATTAGTTTTAAGCAAGGATGCCTTATTTGGCTTGTTGACAGTAAATGGATCTCAGTCACTGAAATAGCCAGACACTCACCAATGCAGGTTCCATTTTCTGCCTTGGTCATTCCATTTGGACAGAGATCAATGCATTTATAGCCACCACGAGTGTTCTTGCAATGCTGATCTGGTCTGCATACATTCTGTCTACACTCATTTATATCTTGATAAAAGAACAAAGATAATGCAGATTGAGAAAGTGATTTCTTCCAGTTTTTCATAAAAATATGTCTTTGAATTTTAAGGATAAATAATATAGATGATTATATAGTCATGGTATAAGGTTGAAGTGTTTAAATCCATCAAGGTATGTAACACACTTTATTTTAGAACACAATGATAAAAACTAAAAATATTATAGATGGAAGCCATTCCAAAACATTTCCCCCTCCTAGAAAAATAAAAATTATATGTATATTTAATTGCTAAGTTGTGTCCGATTCTTTGCAACCCCATGGACTGCAGCCCACCAGGCTCCTCTGTCCATGGGATTCCTAAGCAAGAATACTGAAGTGGGTAGCTATTTCTTTCTCCAGGGAATCTTCCTGACTCAGAGATTGAACCCGTGTCTCCTGCCTTGCTGGCAGTTTCTTCACCAACTTAGTCACCAGGAAAGTTGTATATTACATATAACTATGTGTGTGTGTGTTATTTTGCTCAGTCGTGTCCCACTCTTCTTGACCTCATGAACTATAGCCTGCCAGACTCCTCTGTCCATGGAATTCTCCAGGCAGAATACTGGAGTGTGTAACTGTTCCCTTCTCCAGGGAATCTTCCGGACCTAGGGATGGAACCTGGGTTTCCTGCATTGCAGGCAGATTCTTTATTGTCTGAGTGAGCCACCAGGGAAGCCCATATATAACTATATACACACATATATTATGATTTTGTGAAAAATGGTACTATGATAGAGAACATGTTAAAAATGGTTGTAAAATTGGAAAAGGAAACCTATAAAGTACAGAATTTGTTTCCTTTTGTTTTTGCACGGAACACATAAATGATGCATGGTAGGTGCCCTGTATCTCACACGGATTCGATCAGACAGCATTAAGACGACATCACTGCTTTGAATTCGTAGCCCTGTCCTTACCCACACATTTTCTGCCTTTGAGCTGATACCCAGGTTCACATCCACAGTGAAAACTTCCTATGGCATTGAAACAGCGGTGGTGACAGGGGCTGGATTCTTGACATTCATTAATATCTGTTAAATAAAACAAAACTTTCATTACATGCTGTGAGAAAACAGGTTTATCCCAAATGTTTAATATTTTAGTGATCTTTGATCAATATTATGTTTAAGATCTTCCCTAAAAAGAATCCAGTCTAATTGCTCTCAAGAGATCTGCTAGATAATTGATAGAATTAACTGCCAGTGAGGGTTTCTCTCTTTAATACTCTCCCAAGATTGACATTTGCTATTGTTTCAGAGCTATGTTGATGTAATACTTCTGTAGTTTAACTATTTTGTTTACTATATGGCTCCCATTCCTGTTTTTAGGAACTTTCAGCCCTGGAACATAGCTGACAGAATGAAGTACTGAAAATAAATAATAATAAAGTTAGGGTCTTCTGCAACATCTTTCGAAATTTGAACTTTCTTCAGGATTTTTGCTATTATTAGCCTGATGCAGGTCTTTATCACCTTGTGCTCAAATGACTGCAGCGACTTTAGCTTTTATCCTCATCTGCAGTCATTGCCAAGTTAATCTTTGTGAACATCATCTGGGTCACACTGTAATGGAAAAAAATGTGCAACGGTGAATTCCCCCAACTGATGCGTACGTGCTTGTATTTTGCTCCTTCTCTTTTTTCATTCCTTCTGTTCCCAGAAAAAGGGAGACGACTACTTCCATTTAAGAAAGGTTCCTCTACTTGAGCTTTTGATCTCCGTGGTCTGTTTTCTCCTTCCTCACTAAGATGAGAACTGTGGTCCACCAAGCATTTCCTCCTCTCAAATGTTCCTAAAGCTCTTCGTCCTTACTGCCATCTTTCCTATAACCCTGTAGCCATAATCAAATCTTTCCTTTCTCAGCAGAGTCCCTCTCAGGTCTATACTCACCTCAAGCCCCTGCCACTTCTCTACTGTCCTATTCCAAACCCTTAGAAGAACAAAACATAGTTTGGGGTCTTTGTGTTCTCATCTTACATTCCTAAATTTGAGATGTCCAGTATCTTATTTTGTTCTTATTTTCTATTTCAAATCTTCTAATTTAATCTTTCAAAATCTGTACATGTCATATAAATGCACAAATGTGTTAACATTTTTTTAATTAAATTTTTATCTTGTACTGGGCTATAGTTGACTTACAGTGTTGGTTAGTTTCAGGTGGATAGTAAAGTGGTTCAGTTACATATATACACGTATCCATTATTTTCCCATACAGCTTATTACAGAATACTGAGTAGTGCTCCCTGCATTATACAGTGGGTCTTTGCTGATTATCTCTATTACATATGTGCGTGTGTGCTAAGTCACTCCCTGCATTATACAGTAGGTCTTTGTTGATTACCTCTATTACATATGTGTATGTACTAAGTCACTTCAGTCGTGTCCAGCTCTTTGTGACCCTGTGGACCATAGCGTGCCAGGCTCCTCTGTCCCTAGTATTCTCCAGGCATGAATACCGGAAAGGATTGCCATTTCCTACTCCAGGGCATCTTCCTGACCCAGGGATCCAACCTGCATCTCTTATGTCTCCTGCATTGGCAGGAGGACTCTTTACCACTAGTGCCACATGGGAAGCCTATATAATACTGTGTGTATCTTTGTCCCAAATTCCTCATTTATCTCTTCCTCCCACCTCTTCCCCTTGGGTAACCATACCTTTGTTTTCTGTGTCTGTGGGTCTGGCTGCTTTGTAAATGAGCTCACTTGTATCATCTTTCTAGATCAAATGTGTAAGTGATGGCAAATAATATGTCTTTCTCTAGTTTATTTACTTTGTATGATAATCTGTGTTGCTGCAAATGACATTATTTCATTCTTTTTACGAGTGTGTAATATTCCATTGTATATATGTACCACATCTTCATTCATGTATAGATGGACATTTAGGTTGCTACCATGTCTTAGCTACTGTAAATAATGCTGCAGTGAACACTGGGGTGCATGTGTTTTTTCAAATTATTATTTTCTTCAGATATAGGCCCAGGAGTGGAATTGGTAGATCATATGGTAGTGCAATTTTTAGTTTTTTAGGGAGCCTCCATACTGTTCTCCATAGTGGCTGTACCAATTTATATTCTTACTAACAGTTGGAGTATGCCCTTTTCTCCATACCCTCTCCAGCATTTATTATTTGTAGGCTTTTTAATGGTGGCCATCCTGACTGGTATGAGGTGATACCTCACTGTAGTTTTGATTTGCATATCTCTAATAGTCATGTTGAGCATCTTTTTATGTGCTTTTTTGGCCATCTGTATGTCTCTGAAGAAATGTCTATTCAGATCTTCTGCTCATTTTTTTCACTGGGTTGTTTGCTTTTTCATATTGAGCTACCTGAGCAGTTTGCATTATCAATCCCTTGTCAGTTGCATCATTTGAAAATATTTTCTCCCATTCTGTGGGTTATCTTTTTGTTTATGGTTCCTTTGCTGTGCAAAAGCTTTTAACTTTAACTAGGTCCCATTTGTTTGTTTTTATTTCAATTACTCTAGGAGGTGGATCCAAAAATATATTGCTGTGATTCATGTCAAAGAGTATTCTGCCTACATTTTCCTCTAAGTTTTATAGTGTCCAGTCTCTCATTTAGTCTTTAATCCATTGAGTTTATCTTTGTATTTGGTGTTAGAGAATGTTCTAACTTTATTCTTTTATGTGCAGTTGTCCAGTTTTTCCAGAACCAATTATTGAAGAGCCTGTCTTTTCTCTATTATATATTCTTACCTTTTTTGTTATAAATTAATTGGCTACTAGGTGTGTGGGGTTTATTTCTGGGCTTTCTGTCCTGTCCCGTTGATCTGTATTTCTGTTTTTGTGGCAGTACCATACTGTTTTGATTACTGTAGTTTTGTAGTATAATCTGAAGTTAGGGAGCCCGATTCTCCCAGCTCAATTTTTCTTAGAATTGCTTTGGCTATTTTGAGCCTTTCATGCTTCCATAAAAATTTAAAAATCTTTGTTCTAGTTCTGTGAAAAATGTCACTGGTATTTTGATAGTGACTGCATTGGAATCTGTAAATTGCCTTGGGTAGTACAGTCATTTTGACAATGTTGATTTTTTTCAATCCAGGAACATGGTATATCTTTCCCTTTACTTGAATCATTTTTTATTTCTTTCATCAGCATCTTGTAGTTTTCAGAGTACAAATCTTTTACCTCCTTAGGTAGATTTATTTCTAGGCATTTTAATCTTTTTGCTGTGATGGTAAATGGGATTGTTTCCTTAATTTATTCTTAGGTAACTTATAATTTTTTCTGATCTTTTGCTGTTTTATAGAAATGCAACAGACTTTTGGCTATTAGTTTTGTATCCTGAAATTTTCTCCAATTTGTTTATGAGCTCTAGTAGTTTTCTGGTAGCACCTTTAGTATTTTCTATGTATAGTATAATGTAACCTGCAAAGAGTGGCAGTTTTATGTCTTCTTTTCCAATTTGGATTTCTTTTATTTCTTTCTTCTCTGGCTTCCATGACTAGGACTTACAAAATTATATTAAATAAAATTGGTGAGAGTGGACATCCTTGTCTTGTTCCTGATCTTCGAAAAAAAGCTTTCAGCTTTTCTCCATTGGGCATGATGTTTGCTGTGGATATGTCATATGGCTTTTATTATGTTGAGTTAAGTTCCCTTTATCCCCACTTTCTGGAGAGTTTTTTCATAAAGGGATGTTGATTTTTGTCAAAAAGCTTTTTCTGCAAATATTGAGATGATCATATGGCTTTATTCTTCAGTCTGTTACTGTGGTATATCACACTGATTTGCAGATATTAAAAAATTCTTGCATCCCTGGGATAAATCTCATTTGATCATGGTATATGATTCTTGTATTGTTGGATTCGGTTTGCTAATATTTTGTTGTGGGTTTCTGCATCTGCGTTCATCAGTGATATTCACCTGTAAGTTTCCCTTTTCTTGTGTGTCTTTGTCATGTTTTCATATCAGAGTGATGGTGTCTCCATTGAATGAGTTTCAGTTTCAGTACTTGTGGTTGGCCTGTTCATGAAAGTCACTCAGTCACGTCCGACTCTTTGTGACTCCATGGACTATACTGTCCATGGAATTCTCCAGGCCAGAATACTGGAGTGGGTAGCCCTTCCCTTCTCCAGGGGATCTTCCCAACCAAGGGATCAAACCCAGGTCTCCTGCATTGCAGGTGGATTCTTTACCAGCTGAGCCACAAGGGAAGCCCAAGAATACTGGAGTGGGGAGCCTATCCCTTCTCCTGTAGATTTTCCTGACCCAGGAATCAAACAGGGTCTCCTGCCTTGCAGGCGGATTCTTTACAAACTGAGCTATGGTTTGTTCATGTTGTCTATTTATTCCTGACAGTTTTGGGAGACTGTACTTTCCTAAGAATTTGTTCATTTCTTCTAGGTTGTCCATTTTATTGGCATATAGTTGTTTGTAGTAGTCTCTTACAATCCTTTGTATTTCTGTTGTATCATTTGTAATTTCTCTTCTTTTATTTCAATAATTTTATTGATTTGAGCCCTCTCCCTTTTTTTGATGAGTCTGGCTAAAGCTTTATCAATTTTATTTTTTCAAAGAACATCTTTTAACTGATCTTTTCTATTGTTTTTTTGTCTGTATTTCATTTATTTTTGCTCTGATCTTCATGATTTCTTCCCTTCTACTAATTTTGGGTTTTGTTTGTTCTTCTTTCTCTAGTTGCTTTAGGTGTAAGGTAAGTTGTTTATGTGTGATTTTTCTTGTTCCCTGAGGTAAGACTGTATTGCTACAAACTTCCCTCTTAAACTGCTTTTGCTGCATCCTGACATTTTTGGATCGTTGTGTTTTCATTTGAGTCTTTTTTGATTTCCTCTTTGATTTCATCAGTGATCCTTTTTTTTTTTTGTCATTTAGTCTCCATCTGTGTTTTGGGCAGTTTTTTTTTTTTTAATAGTTGATGTCTAATTTCATAGTGCTGTGGCTGCAAAAGAAATTTCGATTTAATATGCCAGGGTTTTCTTTGTGGCTCATGGAAAATGTTCCATATGCATTTGAGAAGAATGTGTATTCTGCTACCTTTGGATGAAATGCTCTATAAATATGAATTAAGTCCATCAGGGCTAATGTGTCCTTTAAGGCCTATGTTTCCTTACTGACTTTTTTCTCTGATCCATTCATTGAGGTAAGTGGGGCATTAAAGTCTCCCACTATTCTTCTGTTACTGTTGACTTGTGTTACTTGTACTTTTATGGCTGTTAGCATTTGTCTTATATATTGAGGTGCTCCTATGTTGGGTACATGTATATTTGCAACTGTCTTCTCTTTTTGGATCGATCCCTTGATCATGCAGTATTCTTTGTCTTTTGTAACAGCCTTTATTTTGAAGTCTGTTTTGTCTGATATGACTGTCACTACTCTAGCTTTCTTTTAATTTCCATTTGCATGGAATACCTATTTCAATTCCCTCACTTTGTCTGTATGGTCTCTAGATATGAAGTGGGTCTCTTAGACAATACAGATGAAAGTAATTATTAGTATGTATGTTCTTATTGCCATTTTGTTAATTCTTTAGGATTTGCTTTTGTAGGTCCCTTCCTCTTTTGTTCTCTTCTATTGTGATTTTATAACTATCTTTGGTGTTGTGCTTGGATTGATCTTTCTTTTTTGTGTATACATCTATTGTAGATTTTTGGTTTGCAGCCTATTAATACCATGAGGTTTTGATATAGCAGTCTATAAACATCCAAGATTGTTTTAAGTTGCTGGCCTCTTAATTTCAAATGCATTTCTAATATCCTGCACTTGCACTCTCCTGATGATTGCTGGTTTGATACCATTTTTGTTTGTAAATGATCTTCTGTCCTTACAGTTTGTTTGACTTTACTGATGAACTTTCCCATTTATAATTTTCTTTTTTTTAGTTGTGGCCTTTTCTTTTCCACCTAGAGGTTTCTTCAGCATTTGTTGTAAAGCTGGTTTGGTGGTGCTAAATTCTCTTAGCTTTTGTTTGTCTATAAAACCTTTGATTTCTCTGTTGAATCTGAATGAGAGCCTTGGTGGGTAGAGTATTCTTGTTTATAGGTTTTTCCCTTTCATCACTTTAAATATATCATGCCAGTCCTTTCAAGCTGCAGAGTTTCTGCTGAAAAGTCAGATGATAACCATATGGGGATTCCCTTGTATGTTACTTGCTGCTTTCCCTTTGTTGCTTTTAATATTTTCTCTTTGGTCTTTAATTTTTGTCAGTTTGATAAATATGTGTCTTGGCGTCTTCCTCCTTGGGTTTATCCTGTATGGGACTCTGTGCTTCCAGGACTTGAATATCTGCTTTCCCATGTTAGGGAAGTTTTTGACTATTTCTTCCAACTATTTTCTCAGGACCTTTCTCTTCTCCTTCTGCAATTGACCCCTTTAATGTGAATTTTGGTGCTTTAATGTCTGAGAGGTCTCTTAAACTGTTCTCATTTCTTTTCATTCTTTTTTCCTTATTCTGTTCTGCAGCACTGATTTCCACCAATACCAATCTCTCTTCCAGTTCACTTAACTTGCTCTTCTGCCTCATTTATTCTGGTACTGATTCCAGAGAGTGTATTTTTCATTCCACTTACTGTACTGCTCAACTGTTTTTTTTTTTTTTTTTTTTTAGTTTTCTAGGTCTTTGTGACACATTTCAGGTATCTTTTCAGTCTGTGCCTCCATTGTCTTTCTGAATCTTGGATCATCTTTACTGTCATACCTGAATTCTTTTTCAGTCTGATTGCCTTACTCCACTTCACTTCATTGTTTTTCTGGGCTTTTATCTTGTTCCTTCAGTTGGAACATACTTCTCTGCTGGCTCATTTTGTCTAACTTTCTGTGTTTGTGGCCGCCTTTTCTCAGGCTGCAGGTGTGTAATTATGCTTGCTTCTGGTATCTGCCTCTGGTGGGTGATGATGGTCCAGAGGCTTGTATAGGCTTCCTAGTGGGAGGGATTGGTGCCTGTCCACTGGTGGAGCTGGGTCTTGTCTCTCTGGTAGGCAGGTCCATGTCAGGGGTATGTTTAAATATAGCTGTGAGCTCAGGCTTTAGGCAGTCTGTTGGGTGAGCCCAGGTCTTGCTATTGAGACCTCTGTGAAAGCTCATGCCGATGAATATTCCCTGGAGCCTCTGCCTCTAGTGTCCTTGCCCACATAGTGAGCCTCAGCTGACCCCCTCCCCTCCAAAAGACCCTCTGAGACCCACAGGTAGGTATGGCTCAGGTTCTTATGTGGTCACTGCTTTACTCTATGTCCCAGGGCATGTAAAACCTTGTGTGTGCCTCCAAGAGTGGAATATCTGTTTCCTCCCAGTCCTGTGGAGCTCCTGGCCTTCAAAGTCAAATGCTCTGGGGGCTCTTCCACCCAATGTCAGACTCACAGACTAGGGAGCCTGACATGTGGAGCTTAGCACTCTCACTCCATGGGAGAACCTCTGTGATATAAATATTTTTCACTTTGTGGTAGGAATGAAATTTAATTATATCACAAATATGCTCCTTCTGTCATTTCACTGTGGCTGCGTCTTCATCTTTGCATGCACAGAATATTGTTTTTGGTAGGTGTCAGTCTTTTTTGTTCAGTGGTTAGTCGTAAGTTTGGTGATTTCATGAGAGGAGGTGAGCGCAAGTCCTTCTACTCCCCCATTTTGTCTGCTCCCTGCTCTGTGACCATATACTTTGAAAAGATTTTCTTTGTGCGGTTTTTCTTCTTCTTTTGCTTAGCCTCTCTTATCCTTTTTACCCTTCTTGTTCACCAAAGCCAACCTACATTAACAATCTAAATGACATCTATAGTTAGTATAGAAATGGTAATAGCATATTTCTTTTATGTACACCTGTAGCTCTCCCTAAATATATAAATACACTTCCTTTTTTCTTTTGTTACTGTTTTCCAGTCACATAATCTTCTCTACACAAGTTACATATGCTTTCCTACATCTTAGTATTCTCACTAAAGGATGTCTCATGGAAATTCCTCTAAGCCAAACAGTAGAGCTTCATCCCATTCTTTATAATGGCCACACAGTGGTTTATGGTATAGATATGCCATAATTCATTCATTCTTTCTACTATTGATAAGAATTTAGCTTTGTATCCACTGTGTCTTTCCTTGGAAAATCCAGACAGCAGTTTTATTCATAATTGCTAAAACTTGAAGTGCCAAGATGTCCTTTGGTAGGCGAATGGATAAATAAATTGTGGTAGAGTCATCCAATGGATTATTTTTCAGCACTAAAAAGAAAGGAGCTATCAACCGATGAAAAGACATGGAGGAAACATACATGTGTATTACTAAGTGAAAGAAGCTGATCTGAAAAGGCTACATACTGCATAATTCTAACTATATGACATTATGGAAAAGGTAAAGCTAGAGAGACAATAAAAACATCAATATTCCCAGAGGTTGAGGGAGGGAAGGATGACTAGGTGTAACATAGATTTTTGGGGTAGGGAAACAATCCTGCATGATACTATAATGGAGGATACATGACATTGGAATATAAAACATCAAGAGTAAATTCTAATGTAAACAATGGACTTTTGGTTGTAATGATGTGTCAGTGTAGGTTTATCTTTGGTAAAAAATGTACCACTCTAGAAGGAATCTGATAGTGGGGGAGGCTGTGAAGAAGTTGGGGCAGGGAGAATTTAGAAAATCTCTTTCCATTCTACTCAAATTTGCTGTGAATCTAAAATTCCTCTAAAAAGTAAGTTTTATATCAAAAGTCCTGCAATAAATAGCAGTCTTATGAAATGGAGGGTTTTTTTTTTTAATAAGAGAAAAGGTTTATTTCTATGCACATAGGTGCCAACCAAAAAAGTAACATGTTTCATTGTGAAAGTTAAAGGCTTATAAACCAGACCTAACAGCAGAAATGAAGAGGGGATAATTGACTTCTATGATATGAACAGACAGGGTTCTTTAGAAAACAATGAGATAAAAGAGATTGTATGATAATGTTTGTCTGTACAAGGATGAGTGATTTTTGCATCTTCTTCAGGATCATGAAATACCCTGCAGAAGAGATTTATGGTAGGGTTACTCTATGTCTCTCTCCTGGGACTAGACTCTACCCTGAAGAGGTAATTGATAGTCATGGTCATTTCTCAGAAGTTTCTGCTTTTACGCAGGTGAGGGGAGCTCTAAGAAGGCTTTCTTGTACATCTGTTGAATCTCAAGTATGAAACGTTCTATTAAGATCATGCTGTATGATCTCTCTCAAGTATTATAGGTAAGTTTTATTCAAAATCACTGTGTTACAAACACTTAAAATAGCCATAGAATATTACATTTAAATATTTTACTGTGAAGCTCAATCTATTAAATGGAGTTCACCCTAAATGGTCCAATAGGCAGGGTTTTTAACTCAGTATAACGAAGATAAAGCAAGGGCTTCCATTTGTATACCTTGACAACTCAGCCCATCACTGGTTCTTCGAAAGCCAACTCCACAGCGGACTACACAGCGATAGGATCCAATGGTATTATCACAGTCCTGACCAGCATGGCAGGTGTATCCACCCAAAGCACACTCATCAATATCTGCAACAAAGTGATTCATTTAACAAAGGGGGGTGGGAAAAAAACCAATTTAAGAACCTGCTGTGAAATAAGAATAAGGAAGGCAATGAGTGACACTTGAAATACACAAGAGCAAGAATGTTGAATTTTGGGGTAGGTCCCTTCAGATGGGTTGAAGATCTGACAATATCCTAGCAGGACAGTGTATCTTCAAAGACCAGGCCATCCATCAGACCACTTATAAGTTAGGCGACTGAAAAAAGGTACTTCTTTCTAACATCTGAGTTCTCATTTGTAAAATGAGGATAATAATATCTGTCTCTCAGTACTGCTTTAAAAATTAAAGGAAATAATGTATACAAAGTGCCCAATCCATATGAACATTCCCATAGAAGTTCTTCCTATGCCCTCTTTTGTCCCTACTCCCTCTCTCTTTTGTATTTAGACGGAGGCCTCCTTGGGCATAGAGGGAGAAATCCTTTCTTCTTTTCATTTTTTTATTTATAAGTTAGGCTCCTATACAATTTCTAACTTTGAAGCATACCTAGAATCTGATAGAAATGTGTGATTTCTTTTTTTAATGTTCCTAAAGTCCTACCAGGATTGTGCAGTTCACTTAAATTCTTTATAACCTTATTTTTCCTTGGTGTTATCCCTGTAAAATGCATATGGTAATAGGCCTGCCTGCCTCTCATCATTGTACTGGGGGGATTGAGTGAATCATTAGAGGCATCCCTGCCCACAGAGTGCCCCATAAGAAGGCAGTGTGTGAGCAGTCTTCTCTCTGCCTTACTTTTTCAACTTCATGAAGGCAGAGGCAGAAACAGTAGTAAAGAAGAGCCTCGGTCTTCCATGCTTTTCCTGGGTCAGAGATTGCCATGCCCATTGCTTAAATGTGTGGATTAGATTTAGCCGTGTGACTACCTTGACAAGTTCTTCCATCGGCAGCTATGGTGAGGCCTTTGGGGCAGGAGCAGTAATAGGTTCCCATGGCATTGTGACAGAAATGAGAGCAGGGATTCCCTGCGGCACACTCATCTTCATCTGGAAGAAGAAACAAGACCCAGTTAGTATGGAGAAGCCCTACTTTCAAGGGGTTATTCAAGTGGGTGAAAAGAGTTGCCTGCAGAGACCAGTGAACGGATCCGACGTAACGGAAAATGCTCCATGTGCCACAGAAGAGAAACACAAAATGAAGTTACTTTTGAGGTCTCGCGTCATCCTGGATTAATTTTAAAACAACAATGATGAAAGCTAAGACATAATGACCATTTACTGTGATTGAAATGCTTTTTATTATACCTATGTTATCTCAACATTCCTAGGATTCCTATTCTCATGTGCATGCTAAAACTGAGGAACAAAGAGGTTAACTAAATTGCTGAAGGTCACATAGGTCATTATCGGCAGAGCTGGGATTTGAACCTGGACAGTACGGTTTCTAAAGATGGCCTTTTTATCACTGTATGATGTTTCATTGCCTAGCAGCAAAAAGCAAGGCACTGTGTATGCCAGTTTGAGCTCCTCTAGCCAATTATTTGGGCTTCCCTGGTGGCTCAGAAGTTAAAGTGTCTGCCTGCAATGCGGGAGACCTGGGTTCGATTCCTGGGTGGGGAAGATCCCCTGGAGAAGGAAATGGCAATCCACTCCAGTATTCTTGCCTGAAGAATCCCATTTATTTAGCTGTTTACTTATCTGTGACTCTTGCACTGGCACATGGATGGCACAAGGCAGGTTTAGTCATCAGTCCTCCACCCACAATCCAGCCCTATGATACAACGGGGCACTTCTAGGGTTAGGTGGCTTAGAGATGAATTACTGCTGTTTCACATGCGTGGCAATCAGGTGGTCAGACACAGTCCAGTGTTTGGTTTCTGAGTCCAGTCTACCCCTGCACTTGGTCATGATCCCTGATATACTTGACTGGGAAACTAGCTGAAACGCACGGCTCTGTATCTGTCTTAAATCCAAATCTAGCTCTGCCATCTGATAGCTGAGTGAACTGAGGCACTCAGCTTCTTCACGCCTCAATTTCCTCACCTGTAAAATGAGACAGAGGACTATGTGACTAATAAATAGCTGGCAAAATGACAGTAAATGTCCATTAATGATAGCATGAACAGATTATGAAAAACAAAAATGCATCATTTATTCTTGTACTTACCAGCACAAAAGGGTCCGACCGAGTCTAAGGCAAACCCAGAGGGACACTGATTACTGCGTTCTCCTACCGTAAAGACAAAAGCAAAATTAACTGACTTGTTAGAACTTTAGCACCTTATTTCTTTCCAGAACCATCCTCCCTGGGGAGATACGCCAAAAGTGGAACACATGAGACAGCAAATGCAAAAAGTGAAAACAAGCAGAATGGAAAAACTTTCCTGTTTCTCAACCAAGAACTAAATGAATCATAGTAGAGACTGTTGGCAAGCAGCCAATGGAAGCAGATTTTCTGCTTAAGTAATTTACATGAATCAAAAGAAAATTATTCTTTGATAACAAAAAAGGATACGAATCAATGTGACTGCCAGACATAACCACAGGCAAAATCCTATTCTTCCAGCCATTTACTTTCTCTGTTCCCGAAGTTGGAATGGTATTTTGAAAACCCTTAAAATAATTTATGCCAGTAAAAAACAAACTCTAATGAAGAAAACCTCTCCTTTTGTCAATCTCCATTTGCACAGTGAAGCATCTGGGGCAAAGTTCCTCTGTGTATAACCAAGTGTTCTCCTTTCCATATAGTCAAATCAAGAAGAAACAGGCATATCATTATGGAGTAGATGTTAGATTAGCATTAGATGGGATAGATGTTAGATTAGCGTTAGAAGAAAACATATTAACAAGAATAGGGAGGTTAGGGAATCTCTTTTCTTATAATGTAACTCTGTTTTGACGGATGTAAGTTATTTTACCAATATATTATAAACATTAATGAGATGCAAAACTTAAACTTATTTCCAAGTTAGCAAAGTAATATAAACACACACACCTTAAAAAGACAATCATTGACATAATATATTTCTCTTAAGGGGAATTTTATTTAATTCATGTAATACACTGAGTTTATATTCAATCTCTTAGAAATTACCTTAGATTTTCCTTCAATTCCAAATACATGAGATGCTTTACTTTTATTGCTGTAGGTGTTCTTCATAGAATGAAGCTGGGTATTTATTTTTCATATTCATTCTACTTTGGAGAGTCTCTGATTACAAAATTATTTGAGCCCTGCTGAGACCATGACACTGTTCAAAACTCTCATACATTTATATTTGTGGGGGGTGGAAGAAATACTACTCCAGTGAATATAGTTCCTTGACTAGAAAGCTAAAGCTACACTTGCTATTTCTAGGTAATCAAACTGTTTAAAACCTTGAAGAGAAAGCAGAGGTTCATGGTCCATTTCCTCTACAAGTGTAAAAATGACCCTGAGGGCATCCAAGCCTTCCTGCCTCGTCAAGGAATGGGGGCAGGGTAGATGGGATAGAAATGTTTGCTAAATGATGGCTGGTTGTCACAGACTACTGTGAGCTTCATGTGCTGTATTACATGTAAATCTCAGAACTCCCCACCTCCCATCATAACCAATTTTTAGGTGAAGAATTTGAGACTGAGGTCATGTAAGTAACCTAAAGTCAAAGGTAATAAAATTATAATCTGGAACAAGGATGTAGATGCAAGTCCGTGTGACTTGCAACCACTGAACTCAAGAATACAATTCAGATGACCCAATCTCATTTCTTTTTATGGCAGAGTAATATTCCATTATGTATATGTACTACATCTTCTTTATCCACTCATGTGTGAGGGGACATTTAGGTTGCTTCCCAAGTCCTGGCTATTGTAAATAGTGCCATGATGAATACTGGGTGCAGACGTCTTTTTGAATTATGGTTTTCTCAGGACAAATGCTCAGTAGTGGAATGCTGGGTCATATGGTAGTTCTATTTTTAGTTTTTTAAGGAACCTTCATACTGTTCTCCATAGTGACTGTATCAATCTACATTCCCACAAAAAGTGTAAGAGAGTTCTCTTTTTCTCCATATCCTCTCCAGCAATTTTTATTTATAGATTTTCTGATGATGGCCATTCTGACCTGTGTGAGGTGGTGATACTTCATTGCAGTTTTGATCTGTATTTCTCTAATAATTAGTAATTTTGATCATCTTTTCATGTGTCTCTTGGCCATCTGTATGAATTCCTTAGAGAAAAGTCTGTCACATAGAGTGAATTAAGACAAAATTACTGATATTAATACATGTATATGGAGTCTAGAAAAATGGTACAGATGAGCCTATTTGCAGAGCAGGATTAGAGGCACAGATGTAGGGGATGGATGTGTGGACACGGCAGGGGGAGAGGTCGGTGGGATGAACTGGAGAGTGGCGCTGACATATGTGTGCTGCCGTGTGTAAGGAGACGGGGAGCTGACTGTATGGTGCAAGGAGCTCAGCTCAGTGCTCTGTGATGACCGAGAGGTGGGGGGCGGGGGCGGGAGGGGGGGTACACGTATACAGGCAGCTGATTCACTTCCCTCTGCGGCAGAGACTAACACGATGTGGTAAAGCAACTATACCCCAACAGAAAGTTTTAAAAGGAATACAATTCAGGTGGTTGTAATTCATGCTTCATTTTTATTCACTCATTTACATATGCCGTAATGTAGCCAGTATGTTGTGTACAGCATTGTGTTGGGGCCACAGTTGTGGAAAAATGTGTCACATAAGTGTAAGTTATTATCTGATAGAAGCTTTAGAGTTTTGGTTCTAAACAGGGAGATAGCTTCCATGAGGCGGCATCTGGAAAGTTTGCTGGGAGAGACTTCGGTTGTCCTGATGATGACAAGATTTAACAGGAAGCCTATTTCGTGAGTGGGGTGGACCCCAGGGCAGGTTTTAAATATTGCAATGTGTGGGATAAGGATGCAAGATGAAGATGTGTCCCTTTCCCCAAAAGATTTTTGTGGCATCCAGAAAGCTGTTTGTAATTATCTATGGCTAGAACTCATCTTCCAATTATTAAACATTTTTTGTGTGATTAAAATATACAATGAACTTTCCAGGAATGCAACTGTCATGTAAATGGATGGGTCATTCATTGTACATTGTTTTAGTTGGAATGTTACCAAGAATCACTCAATATTTCTTTTTTGTTGTTTCTAAACATCATACTTAGGCTCTAAATATTGGTTCAGCCATATAAACACTTCTATCTATAATATCCAAAGATTTTCATATCAAAGTACATAAAATACACATTTTACTTTTATTCTTTCTCTTGTAGGTAAAGAACGTGACTTTGAATTATATCATGATTTTCTTTTTTGACACAGTAGGAAGGCATACAAAATGTCTGTGCTATGGTAATATATAATTGTAAAAACATTGACAAGCACAAAATTCTCTGTGCCCTTTTCACTTGAGACAAGCTACTGCCAAGATTTTGATGCTGTTCCTTGCAGTCACTTCTATCAGTATGCTACCATATTAGTATACGATCAGAATATGCTTCAAAAAATTAAGTTAGGATCTTTTTAGGCTAATAACTGCCAAACTTTACTGATACTATAATCTATTGGAGAGTTTATTAAAAATACAGATCCTTTGGTTCTATCCCAGTCAGAATGGCAAAGGAAGAAGCCTGGGAAATCTGTGTTTTCAAGCAGTATGAAGGTTTCCTTACAGTCACTATGATGTGGGCAACCTAGGTTTGGATCATATAGTAAAGGCTAGATACAGCAGAATCATTCAGGCGGCTGTTTTAAATATACAGACTCCAAGGTCCTGCCTTAGACTAGCTAAACCAAAACCTTTGCGTTTAGAAATCTGAACTATCATCAAGCTCTGTACAAGTCTAACTACATTGTAACCATAGTTCTAGTTTAGACCCAACAAAGAGAGAGAACATGCTGGTTAAGCAACTCAGAATGCAGGCTTGCCCCCTGGTGGTCACTTAAAAAGAAACTGCAGGTGCACAATTCTCACAACAGGAACAATTAACAACCAACGGCAACTATATCAGCTGTAGTTCATAGAATCATAGTATCCCAAGAATAGTAAGAGGTTTTAATGTCTCACAGTGTTTCCTTCTACCGTGGGATTCAAATCCCTCAATAGATAGAAACCATAAAGACCATCAAGCAGTTTCAAGTTTAGAGGACTTAACACGATTGGGTAGAAAGTACATATGACTTTGCAAAAATCATTTTAATTCCTCTAGTCCCAGATAATATGAATTCATTTCAACCAAAATCTTGTGCTAAAGTTTTTTAAAAAAAATTGTATGGAGGACTGGAAAAAGTAGAAGTGGAGATTAAATTTGAGAAGTAGGTATTACTGGGGAAAACAAAATATAACTCTTTGTTCCAGTGGCTCTTTTCTCTTGTCCAAGTTAAAGTAACATGCATGACAATAGTAAAATAAGGTGGTGGTGACTGATGTGGGTGGAGAAGGTGTGGGGCTATGAGGCTTCATGAATCTGAGATTAGTTTAAAAAAATGTCCATATATTCTTACATTACTATGACCTCAAATTTGATGAAGCTGTTCTGATGCTGAAGATGAAAACAGTTATATGCACAACTGATGAGAGCAAGGGTAAATGGTGAAAATGAATTTGTGGTGTATGTGCTGAGCATGATAAACAAAATGATGCTGGCTAAATCTACTTGGATTTATTTTAGGAAAGCCTGCACAAAGCAAACCACACACTCACCAGACCACTCCAAGTCATTTTAGGTACACTCATGGGAGCCTAAGGTCAGTATCAAAGTCATCCAGTGTCTGTAACATAACCACATGCAAGGATCTCCACACATCAAAACCCCACGGGATATGGAATGCTAATTGTCATGGTGCCTCTTACAACTGAAAAATGGTACTCATGAACCTATATGCAGGGCAGGAATAGAAGGCAAATATAGAAGACAGACTTGTGAACACAACGGGGGAAGGTGGGGGGGGGACAAATTGAGAGAGTAGCACTGAACCATATGCATGACTATACGTAGAGGAGAGAGCTAATGGGAAGTGGCTGTGTAAACAGGGAGCTCAGCCCCGTGCTCCCTGACGACCGGGAGGGGTGGGACGGAGGGGCCACATGTACACTTACGGCTGATTGACACTGCTGTACAGCAGAAAGCAACACAGCAAGGTAAAGCAATTATACCCCAAAATAAATTTAAAAATAAATGTTTAAACAAAACAAAAATGAAGAAGGATATCTCAGAATATAGATACATCAAAACCCACCAGCATAGGGGTACTACTAAGATCAAGAGGAAGTAGTTCGAAAGCTCTAATTTCCAAGAAAAATAAATGACAGCTGGAATTCTGGTGATTACTCCCCAGTTTTTAAAAGTTGCTTTTAAAATACAGAAACTTTTTTTTTTTTTGACTAGGCTTAGATACACCTTTACATGTTTCAGGAATTTTAAAAAAATCTTGTAAGATTCAAAACAAGAACAAATGGGCTTTATTATCCAAAGAAAAATCATTGACACAGGATATCTTTTAAAACTGCTCTGTGTATATAGGTTTGAACAGTAACAACTCCAATATGCTATTAATATATGAAGATGCATATTAGCGAACCAAATGTACTAGAATGCTAATTGGATTGGACTTACCATAGGACTTTACTTATAAAACATAGACAACACACATGAAAAACATGTTATGTTCAGTCTGTACCTTGACATCCTTATTTTGAATGGCATCAGTGCAATTCTTTTACCCATTTAGAAAGGACTACATAGCATGGAGAGCTGGATTTTCCCTTAACCAAATTACCTTTGGAAATTGAAGCATGGATTTTAAAACCCAGTGTCTCTTCTAACTGGTTGTAGTCAGATTCCACAGAGGATGCATGAAGTGTTTCTACCAAGAAAGGCATTCTTCCCTGTGCCTCATCATAGAAGACAGTGTGGTTCCATGTGTAAGGGACGCTGATGCCATCAATGGTGAACAGCCGGGTTGAGTAAGCATATAGCTGCCCAGGACCTGTTTGAATGTAGTCCTCAGTGTAATCCTAAGAAGGACAATACGGATTTGAGGATCAGCATGGCTCTTTTTTTTTTTTTCTTCTTGAGGGTACTACGATATGTAGAATGAGCTAAAAATAAAAATGGTATAGGGTCTAAAATATACAGTTCTAAATAAAAATTATAATTGTATAGCAGTGCTCAAACTTAAAAGTTTGAACCTACCTGCCATTTTAACTACCTTAGTTTCATAATTTTAGTGTCATAAATGAGAGTTTAATAAGGGACTCAGAATTGTCGGTCAAAAGTAAAGTAAAAATGTGAAAGGGCGATTGCTATCATTCTTTAATTTCTGGAGTACTTTTGTGGATGGTCTATAAAATCTTTTATGTTAGACTTACTATTCTGTTTGTCTATAGAAAGTTAAATGGCTTAAATCAACATAGCTCTGATGTTAGTCCTGATAAGCATGGTCATAAAACTACTAAAAGCTTATAAAGACTCCTCTTCAAAGATTTTTAGACAAAGACCACATAGCCATTTCTACCCTTAGTGGTTTAGAGATTTAATCTCCAAAGTGAACAAGGGGAACTATACAAGTTTTCTGTGCTTCTTTAACGATCTCTGACTCTTACTCTGAGCATTACTCCAGTAACCAGTGAGGGCAGGTTACCCTAATATTTTACCTTCACAGTGACTTCCGCAGGTGACTGTAGCTGCAGGACGTAGCCACTCACAATGATATCTACCAGTAAAGCACCATCAGAGTCCAAGCCCCGGGCAGCATGAGTCATCCGCAATACTTCTCCTAGGAATTATAGTTGATTCGTTTCAACAGCATATATACTGTGTGTGTGTGTGAGACACTTCCCAGTGGTAAAAAAAATCCACCTGCCAATGCAGGTTTGATCCCTGGGTCAGGAAGATTCCCTGGAGAAGGAAATGACAACCCACTCCAGTATTCTTGCCTGGAAAACTTCATGGACAGAGGAACCTGGTGGGCTACAGTCCATGGGGGTCACAAAGAGTCAGATACAACTGAGAATGCACACATGCATATATATGTGTGTGTGTATTTATAAAACATGGTTTGTGTAAGCACATTGCAGATTTACTTTTTATACCAGTTCAGCTATGTTATTGTACTTCACACTTGATTAAATACAAATCATAAGAGAATTAAAATAGCACTTAGTCCCCAAATTAAAGACTTAGATTTACTGAATTAAAGTGATTTTAAAATTCCTTTTTTTACTTTTTTTTACAAAAATTTTCACCTGATTACACCTATAATTAGGTGAAGGGATCCACACTTTGAATTGACAAGCAATAGCAAGGCAGTTCTACAGAAATGGACTGATCGCCTGTGAGAAGGGGACAGACAGCGTGAACAGGAAGACTGGCAACAGCTACAAGTCTGGCTCCAGCGCTTTGTTCTTTCTGATGCTTTTAGAAACAGCAAAGGGACATCTTAGGAAGTGGATTGCCATACAAAGACCCATATGTCCCGTGGGCTGATTAAAGCTATGGTTTTCCTCAACCCTGCTACCTTAAAGATCACTGCTGCAAAGGCAGACCACCTTCGAAGATACTTCATAGGAAGGTCTTTAAAAAGTCGTCTGCCCTTGGAAAAGACCATGAATTGCTAATCCATATGCATTAAAGCTAAGGATAAAGTGAAAAGTCTTTAGATTTGCTTGCTTATGTTTCCAATTTTTTGATTAAAGAACCCCTATCAGATATCATAACTGAATCTCCAGTTCAAAGACAAAAACCTTTAATTAATAGCTATGACTCAGCTTCCTGCTCTGCTTGGCCTTCAAAACCCTCTCTAAGGAATTAAAGAGAACAGATACAGGAAAGATGAAGGAAAAAAGAACTTTTAGGCTATAAAAATCACTATACTATCTGAAAACATATGGCCTCTTATAGAGCCATGTCAGTAAAAGTTTATAGGAAAATATAAAGTTGCTTTTATGTCATTTATGATAAGATGGCAACAAAACCTTGAAATTATCCTCTGTGGGAACATATAATATATTTTTCTAAACTGCCAACTTTTACAGTGATCATATTTTTAAATAGCAATAGGATATTAAGTTCAGTTGATACGAACCAGTTGCAAATTCCACTTGGGTTTCTCTCTTGAAAACTGCATTGGTGAGGGTAAAGCCGTTGACTGCTTCTCCTATTTCTTTTGCTGTTGTCCAATAAATGGGATTTAGAATAGAAACTATCTTTCTCATTGCTGGACCTAGAGAAAAAAAGGGGTAAATAAGATGTCAAAGCAAAATATTTACAGCCCATTGTTGTTATCCACAGCAAGTTATTCAAAGGGATGAATCCTAAATATACTTGAATAACAACAAAAATATCAGCATCTAAAAATATCAGATTTTAAAAAGAGTTTACCATTGGGATAAAACTAAGGACTATTACACTGCTCATTTAGTAGTAGCATCCCTAGAAATTTTAAGTGGAAATAACATATGAAGAAGAATAATGTATGTTTTTAAAAAGAGGCTTATTGACAACTTTTATCAGCAAAGAGACTTACCGAGACTGCGAGGTACATTGGTAATTTTGGCATGTATTATTCTAGTATCAGAGTTTGGGCTATCTGTGACCGTGGCGTTAAGGAAAGCAATTCCAAATTCAACATCATTAATGCTTCCAATAACACTTCCTCTGGCTCGTTGGGGCCCACCTATTGCAGGAAGAAAAAACATTCTTGGAAAGGAAACAATTTCATCAACATTACATTGGAGAAAAGAAAGCCAGTATTCAAAGATGCTCCAGATCTTCTCCCAAACATTTAAAATATCATATGACATCTGAATTTCAGAGTGAAATAAATAAGCTTTCAAAACATTCTACTCCCATGTAACACTCATCATCCTGCATAAATCTAGGATCCTTCCAATCTATGTACATCATAGTATTATTTCACAATCCAAAGAATACATTCAGCACCCAGTCCCAAAGCCAAAATAAAGTATGTGTTTGGTGACGGTGATGAAATGTTGATAATAATGAGGGTTTATTGAGCATGTCATGTACTACAAGAAGCACATAACATGTGTTAACTCATTCTAGCAAAAATTCTATAAGGTAAGTTTAAATAGCCAGAATTTGCAGACTAGGAAAATAAAGTTCAGAGCATTCAAGTGGTTGTCCCATGATTACTTAATTAGGAAGCAGCAGAATGAGGCTATAAACAGACATCTGCTTGTCATCAAAACCCATATTCTTTATTTTTAAATTTATTTATCGGGGTACAGTTGCTTTACCATGTGTTGGTGTGTCTGCTCTTCAGCAAAGGGAATCTGTCACATGTATACATATAGCTCCTCCCTCTTGAGCCTCCCTCCCACCCCATGCCACCCTTCTAAGTCATCACAGAGCGCCGAGGTGAGCTCCCTGTGTATCAGAAAGAGAAAAACAAGTTATCATCCATTAATGCGTAAATGTGGGCTCTAGAAAAATGGTTCAGAAAACCCATATTCTTTTATCCATTACCTCCTTCATGAGAACACAGAAGGAAGGAGGTATCACCAATGAAACAGCTCGAAAGCCTTGTGACAGGTCACTACCAACATATATGTGAAACGTTTAAGGGTTATTGTTCAGTCTTAGGTTTCAGATCAATGGCTTACCAAGCTCTTCATATTATATATATATACTGGAATATGTTTACCTTGAGAAAAATTTGAGAACAATGTTGTACTTTTAAAATTGCTGCAAAATTTATACCAAGACATTTATGCTGAGCAAGAATCATACAATCTTTTAAAAGTAGCTTTATGGTAATTTTGCCTTCTTTCCGTTGTTCAACAAAAATATTGGTTACTAACACAGAATCAGTGGCTAAGGAGTCCATGCTTTGACAAGAGAGGGAAATACACTGAGAAGAAACTAATAGTTGTTTTTTTTGCCTGTTTCCAGGTTTTTTAAAAAAATTTATTCATTTTTAACTGAAGGATAATTGCTTTACAGAATTTTGTTGTTTTCTGTCAAACATCAAATTAATTTTATCAAAGTATAGTTGATTTACAATGTTATATGTTTCTGCATCCATTCAGAAATATTTAGCAAAGTGAATATTGCCAGGTTTTAAATAGCTTTTTTTTAAAAATTAAAATATAAGGAAAGGACTTTATGAATGACAGCTGAATGGATAAGATTAAAAAAAATCAGAATAATCCCATGGAAATGCAAATTATATTCTTGGTATCTGGGTTCAGAGCAGCTAATAACTAAAAATATTCATTATTTGATTCCTTTTACTGAGAAGGAAATGGCAACCCACTCCAGTATTCTTGCCTGGAGAATCCCATGGACAAAGGAGCCTGGCTGGCTATAGTCCATGGGGTCGGAAAGAGTCAGACACGACTGAGCGACTAAATACACACATACTTGAGTATAGTTTAAAGCAGTCATAAGGTGTTTCAGATGTTGTTGTCATGTATTATACACTGAGGCTTCTCTGATGGCTCACTGGTAAAGAATCTGCCTGCCAATGCAGGAGATGTGGGTTTGATCCCAGGTTGGGAAGATCCCCTGAAGAAGGAGATGGCAACCCACCCCAGTATTCTTGCCTGGAGAATCCCACAGACAGAGGCGCCTGGCAGGCTACAGTCCTTAGGATTGCGAAAGAGTTGGGCATGACTTAGCAACTAAACAACAAATTATATACTGGGGAGAAATACAGTTGCATTCAATCTGAGAAAAGTCGATAAGTGTTTCATCATTTTATTTTGCATTATTTTACTAGTGAGAGAAACAGTTTTTTTCACATTGATTCACCCTTCATGTTCTTGATTATATTCATCTGTTACTCAAGTATTGAAGATACAATGGTAAGAAAGATAAAGACATGAAGCTTGCTTTCATAGCACTTATATCTAAACAGGGGAGATAATTAAATTAGAATTCTCTACAAATAGATGTGAAATGCACTAATGTGTAAGATATCTACTACTCAGGGAAGTCTGAGAAAGAGGTAAAAATAGACTAGAGATGGAAAAATTAGTTGCTTAGGTCTTAGCTAAGTCGAGGACTGAGCATACACACAAGTCAAGGAAGGCAGAGAAAGGCTTTCTGGGTAGAAGATACAGCACATGTCACCCTTTTAGGAGATGGTGGCCTGTCACATCTGAGAAGCTAAGAATAGAGAGTTTGGAGAGTGATGGGAACCACGCAACAAGATGACGCGGAAAAGTACATAGTAGGACCTGGCTGGCTACTTTTGTTCTTGAGTCCTAAGCAGGGCCAGAGGAGGATAGTAGGATCACTAATTTCCTTAGACCTCCCATTTTGACCTTGATTCTCTAGTCCCACAGAGGAACTTGAATCCCAGTGTTCAACAGATGTCTCCTAGTTCTGTCTACCCAGTTGGGATCCTTCAAACTCTCTATCAGATCCTGTAATCCAAATTATTTGTCTATTTGGACTTCCTTCTGTCACTGGGTCCCTGATACCATGAGAGACTGAGCTACAAAACGTCTCACCTGAAATGAGACCCATCACTGTGTCTACATGTTAAGAGTCTCAACATCACTGGTGATCAGCGCCATGTTGAGGAGACGCATTAAGCAACTGAGTGAGGGATGCTTGCTCTTTCAGCATGCTTACATCCTATACATCTGTTCATGTAACTCCTTTCTGTCACCCTTTCAAATAGGGCTTGCTGATTTTCAGGGATAATTAACTTCCAAAGCAGCCTTAAAGCTTCGGAATGTCCAATGGTGCCAATATTTGGTGAAAATGTTCTTTTTGGTCTTCTGAAAGCCCTTAGGCGGTCCAGTTCTTTGAGATGAATACTCTTAATATTTTCCACCATTTCTTGGGACTCCAATAAACTCTGAGGTCCATGACTTCTAGAAGTCCAACTCTGTTCCTTCTGAATTTTTGTATCATGGTATCTTGCCATATTGCATGACTTGAATGATAGTAGCTGAACTCCCCCTAATCTTTTCCCTTAAACAGGATTTTCCCTATTTTACTGTCTGTACTCATGTTCTCTATATTTCCATCTGTGAAAGAACAGCCTCCAATTGTGTATTTCTATTAGCTATTCAGTTTCTGCCCCACCCTCATTTTTCTGCCTGGAATCTCAGCCTGGTTTTCCCACTCTTCCTTGTCCTTTTTACTCCTCAGGCCCAGGACTACTATTTACAGCTGGGGGAAGGCTATATCCTTTTATAAAAGGAGCCTAGAAGGGGGCAAGTAGAGACTAATATACAGCATGAGCTTTGGCGCAGAGCTACATCAATGAGGGGGAAAAAGTGCCCTTTTCCTAATTCTTCCATCCAGTTGTTGTCATTGTTTCGTCTCTATGGTGTGTCCAACTCATTTCAACCCCATAGACTGTAGCCCATGAGGCTCCTCTCTCCATGGGATCTTCTCAACCCAGGGATCAAACCTATGTTCCTGCTTGACAGGTGAATTCTTTACCTCTGAGCCACCTGGGAAGCCCCTCTTTCACCCAGAGTTGGCACTATTTTGTACTTTGAGGGCTCAGAGTGACACCTATTTTTTTAAATTCACAAAAAGTCTGTAAATGTGCTCCTGCCAAAGGCTAATGTAATTGCTTACCTGGACATACTTGTATATTACATCTGGATACCTGAGTAGCATCGCCTGGGCAGGGGCGACCACTTTTAGATGGTACTGGATTGTTGCAGAGCCGTTTTCGTATCTTTTCACCTCCTCCACAAGAGGTGGAACACCAGCTCCAACTCTGCCAGTTTCCCCAACTTCCATCCACTGTGAACAAGATGGTCAATATTAAACAAATGGGTAATAAAATCTACCCTCAGAGTGACTCTGCCTATACAACTTTCATTTCAAGACCTGATGTGATGGGGCTGCCACAAGGAGCACTGAATGAAAGGCTTTACTTGTTCTGCTGCCAGGGCTTGGGAAGCTCACCAGGACACATGTCCGTGTTGCATCTCTGGATCTGGGAGTCTGGGCCTCCACAAGCTCTTCCTCCATTGGAGGGACGCGGGTTATCACATGTGCGGTACCGCCGCATCTGCCCCCCATTACATGTCCGGCTGCATATTCCCCAGCCACTCCAAGGACTCCAGTTACCATGAGCTACGACACAGAACCATTGGAGAAGTGGTAAACAATGACGTTCATCCAAAGAGTACAGAAAGACTATCCAGGAAGTGAAAAGAAACACACAGCAATAAACAGGCATCTTCCAAAGACAGGTGGTTTGACTGGAAGCTGGGTATACATTCCAGTGACTGTGCAATTCCATTTAACCTGCATAAACAAGGCTGAGCGCCAAAGCATTGATGCTTTTGAATTGTGGTGCTGGAGAAGACGCAGGAGAGTCCCTTGGACTGCAAGATCAAACCAGTCAATCCTAAAGGAAATCAGCCCTGAATATTCACTAGAAGGACTGCTGCTGAAGCTCCAATACTTTGGTCACCTGATGCTAAGAGCTGACTCCCTGGAAAAGACCCTGATGCTGTGAAAGAGTGAAGGCAAAAGGAGAAAGGGGAGGGAGAGAGTAAGATGGTTAGATAGCATCACTGACTCAATGGACATGAATCTGAGCAGAGGACAGAGGACTCTGGCATGCTGCAGTCCAAGAGGTCACAGAGTCAGACATAACTCAGCAACTGAACGACAACAAAAAGTTTTCCAGGACCTGGAGGATAGGAATGAGAAAAGGTCTCTGAGGAGTCAAGCTATAACATTCAGGATGCAGTGAGCTGAAATGCTGCTAGGGTCCACACTTCTAGCTTGGGTGACTAAATTAAGGCAGAGAGGCACCTGCTTGCTTCCGTTAAGGAATCAACATCATCACCAGTTACTGTGGAAGGATACCCTAGTCCTTGCACTCTGAAGCTGGTCCTAAAAAGGACATGGAATAGAATGCAGCCTCTGCCCATCTAAATCAGTGGGGTCTATGGTATTATATAGACCCAAAAGCAACCACGCAACATTTTGATATCGTAAACCAATGGTAGACAAATCAAGTAACAGACTGTTGTAATTTTAAGGACCTGAGGCCATAATGAAACTTTAAGAAGGTATAATGTTGACTCACTATTTTCAACACTCACTTGGACAAGAGTCACTATTACAAAAATCGCTCTGGACATCACTCCCTTCGCATCTGTTGCCTCCATACTGAGGAGCAGGGTCAGAGCAGTCCCTTGTTCGCTGCCTGGCGCCGCCTCCACAGGATACAGAGCAGGCACTCCAGCTGGTCCAAGTGGCCCACTTGCCATCAACTGGGTTAAAGAAAAACATATGTGCTCTGTTACTACTTAGAGATGATCAAGTTAAACCCTGCGCATTGATAGGTTGAGTGATAATCTTATTGATACTGATTCTAAGTTTTTATTTTCTACTGGAGTATAGCCAATCAGCAATGTTGTCAGTTTCAGGTGGACAGCAAAGGGACTCAGCTTTGGATACGTATACATGTATCCATTCTCCCCCAGACTCCCCACCCATCCAGGCTGCCACATAACATGGAGCAGAGTTCCCTGTGCTAGAGAGTAGGACTGTGTTGGTTATCTACTTTAAATATAGCAGTGTGTACATTTGACATTGATTCTTAATGACATACTCCCTAGATAAGACATAGAGGTTAAATTACTGAGGGTACAAACATTGTATTTATCTTACTTGGACAGTGTCTTTCATTGCAAACTTGCATCTGTGTTTCTGCTCCATCACAGTAGGATCCAGAAAATGATGGTGGTGGGTTATTGCACAGTCTTGTTCTTGTTTGGGTACCTTTTCCACAACTTACGCTGCATGTACCCCAAGGCTGCCAGGTACTCCATGCTCCATGAACTACAAACATCCCAAGACAGAGTTTTAAGTCACAGAACCAAGTTTGTTATTAAAAAAAATTATTACACAGATAAATAACTTGTAATGAGTTAAATTAGCCCAGAATCTAAAATAACTGAAATTGAACCAAAGGAAACATAACAAATGATGTTTTTCCCTCCCCCCTCTGGTTAGATTTTCATGAGAATTAGTATCTATAGGAAAATTGAGAAGGCTACCTGATGCCAAAATAAATGCTTAAAATGATCCAAAGGGGCTCTTTTGTTAAAATTAAATGTAATCAAACTACTACACGTAAATAAAGTCTGAGCTTATAAGCCCTAACTAAGTATTTTCTGGGGAATGTGGAAGGAACCAGAAGCTAAGCTGTGTAAATAATCTTGATGCAGTTATGGCGAACACAATTATCTCCATAATGATAACTTGGACCCCACACTGCAAGGCCACATCTTCAAACCTGATTCGGCTTCACATTTAAAAATGTACTTGGACCTTTCAGCAGCATGATGATTTGCACAGTTGTAACTCTTTGAAAATTTTTCCCCATTACATAATGTTCATGAATTAAAAGTTCTAAATAACACTCACCTGCTTCCTAAACAACAGAAAAAACTGACCAGTAGTTTCCAAGAAATAAGATTAAGGCCTTCCTTTTAGTAACTAACATATTACACCATCTGACCACAAGCCTGGAACAACCTTATGTTTCCTTCCAGGTGTAGGGCTGAGAATAAACATGGTTTCTCTTATGGGTAAGTCAGTACAGGTCATGTTTTTGTCAAAAGGTATTTTCTAGATGTGGGGCTCAAAAAGTTTTTTGCCGTGGTCACCAGGTTTAACCAAGATAGGAACCATAGGGCTTTAAGGTCCTGTCTAAATACTCTCTTAACACAACCTGTAAGTTGAAAAACAAGGAATGGAATTATCATTTGGTTTCTTTGTTTAGAAAATATTTTAAAACACATCTTGAATTTCCTTCTAATTAACTGTTGTCTAATTGAACTGTCTACATATTCTTGTACTTTGTAGACACAAGAAACACAGTCACAAATTTATTTCAGCTGACAAGAATCTTCACTAAAAATTATTTGACGAAACATAAAAGGGAAAGAAAACCTTTCATTAAATGGCAAGTACTACTCAAGACTACTACTTTATTAATTAAGATCACTGATGTGCATAGTTATTACACACGGACTATGGCATTTCAAAATTCTGCTATTCCAACTGCTTTAATATGTTCTGTTTTCAAGGCTGTTGGTTAATGAAAGCATTTCTCTCTTATAAAAAGCCTTATGATACTTGCATTTTTTGGAGGATTACAACTGGGTGACATTTATTAATTTCTTATCTGTGTAGATTCTATTATGGAGCTTCCCTGGTGACTCAGATGGTAAAGAATCTTTCTGCAGTGCAAGAGCCCTGGGTTTGATCCCTATGTGGGGAAGATCCCCTGGAGAAGGGAATGGCTACCCACTCCAGTGTTCATGCCTGAAGAATTCCATGGGTAGCAGAGCCTGGTGGGCTATAGTTTCTATGACATATGGATAGAGGTTTTCAGCTGAAGATCCTTTTAATTTTTTAAGTCAATACAGAAAACCCTAACCAAAATTGAATTTCATGGCATGAAACGTAGAAGAATTGAAATGTTTCTTTCATGTGAATGGAATGATAGCAAGAATGACAATATAAACCAGAGAAGGTGTAAAATTTCATGGTATCTAAAGTATACAAAAGAAAACAGCTATGGAGAAATTAGAAGATTATGAAAAGTAAAACAGATGAGTTTGTTATTACACTGCATTGCAGTTCTGATTCTGGAAAGGCAGGAGAGCAGAGACTCTAGAGCACATACCCTGTGCCTGAATAACCACTCTGCCCTTACTACCTGTGAGATCCTAGACAAGTTACTTAGCTTCTGGGCCTCTAGTTTCCTCATCTGCCATATATGGATGAGAAAAGAACCTCCCTTACTAGGATGGGTGTGAAAAATAATGAGTTGATAGATGAAAAGTGTTCGAATAGTATAAGACACACAACATCACCTAAGTGTGAGCTCTGAGCTAGTACTGCTACTCTTCACTCAGAGTTCTCAATGCTTTCAGAATAACACTTCAAAAAAAGCTCAGTCTTTAAGCAAGCCAACAATATATCTTTAATGACTGACTCAAATGGCAGCAGGATGGCCTACAACAGAAGATATCAATCTTTTTTAGAGGGAGGGCTGTCAGTTTAGAAATAGCTCTAATTGGGGGAGGACAAGATAGGTCTAAAATAGCAATTTGTACCAGAAAGTGGAAGTGTTCATAGAATCATGGGCACATGTCAAGAGGACACTGAAGATAGTCTCAAGGGATCTCCACTAACCAAGACAGTTTGTGCATCACAATAAATGATGATGGTAGTGCATTATAAATCACTGAAGGAAATGGTATTTGAGTTCTTACTGATATAACTCAAAAAAAAGGAAGAGAAAGAGAAAGAAAAGTTCTTTCCTACAATGGAAAGCCAATAATAGATGTCTTGTAAGATCATAGCAATAACTGATTTAAAGCAAAAATAAATCATAAATAGATGCTAAAACTGGTAGGTAAAAGACTGATAAGAAGCAAGATGTTTATGAAGTCTTAAAGTTTTCCTACAAAATGCTTATTAATCACCAAGGTAAATATAGTAACTACACACTGGAAAACACCACGTTAAAAAAGTGAACAAAGTTAACATTACCAGTTTGAGACGTCACATGATATGATGTACTGAGGACACAAAATCATTTCTATGATATGTCTGCCAAAATGCAAAATCTGAATCTAATCGTGAAAAAATATCAGACATACTTAAACAGAAAATTCTCACAAAATGATTAGCCTATATACTTAAAAAATAGCAAGGCCATAAAACATTAAAAGTAGCTAAGAAATTGTTCCAGTTGAAAGGGACTAAAGAGACATGACACATAAATGTGAATGTGATCTTGGAATGGGATAAAGAGTTTATGAAGCATATATGACTGGGACAATTAATAGAATTTGAATGTGAACTGTGGATTAGATAAGATTTATAACAGTATTAAATTTCTTGATTTAGATAATTGTATTGTGTTTATAAAAGAGACTATTCTTGTTTTAGGAAATATGTACAATTGGTGAATCTGGGTAAAGGGTGTACAGAAGTTCTTTGTATTATTCTTGCAACTTTTCTATAAGCTTGACCCTATTAAACATAATATTTTACTAAAAGAAAATCTCATCAAACCATGTGAGGCAAAAAACTAACAGAAGTACAAAGACAAATGGATGAATCTACCATTATAGATGGAGACTCAAATACTCCTCTATCAGAAATGACAGCTCCAGCAGGCAGGAAAGCAATAAGGAAATGATTGAACTCAAGAACAGCAATCAACTAGATATAGTTGACGTCTATAGACTAGTGCATCTGAGAACAGCAAAATTTACATTGTTCTCAGGCTCACATGGAACATTCATCAACGTGGACCACATTGTGAGCCATAAGATATACTTTAACAAATTAAAAAGAATAGAAATTATATAATGTTTGCTCTCAGACAGTGGAATCAAGCTAGAAATCAGTAATTAATAGATGCAAAATCCACAAATATGTGGAGATTAAACAACACAATACTAAATAATACAATTTCAAAGAAGAAATCTCAGCAGATATTAAAAATATTTTGAATTAAAGGCAAATGAAAACACAACTTATCAAAATTTGTGGGATGCAGCGAAAGTAGTGCTTAGAGGGAAATTCATAGTATTGAATGCATAAGATCTAAAATAAATTATCTACATTTCCACCTTAGGAAACTAAAAAAGAAGAGAAAATGAAATCTAAAGTAAGAACAAAAGAAATAGAGCAGAGATCAGTGAAACTGAACATAGGAAATCAACAGATAATAATTAATGAAACCCGAAACTGATTCTTTGAAACGATCAATAAAATCAGTAAGATTCTAGCCAGGCTAATCAAGAGAAAAAGAGAGAATACAAATTATTAATATCAAAAGTAAAAGAGGAGGCATCTCTACAGATCCTATGGGTATTAAAAACATTAAAAGGAATATGAATAGAGTTTGAACAACTCTGTGTCTGCCAGTTTGACAACCTAGATGAAATAGACCAACTCCTTAAAAGACACAATTTGCCAAAACTCACACGAGAAAAAAGTCTGAATAGTTCTGTATCTATTAAAGAAATGTAATCACTAATTAATAAACTTCCATAACAGAAAAACACAGTACCAGATGGGTTTACTGTTGAATTTTACCAAACATTTATGGGAAAAAATGTACCACATACCAATTCCCTACCTTTTCTTTCAGAGGACAGAGCAGAGAAACTACTTCCTAACCCTTTCTATGAGGCCAGCATTACCCTAATGCTAAAACCAGACAAAGACATTACAAGAAAAGGAAAGTACAGGCCAATATCTCTCATGAATATAGATGTAAAAAAGTCTCAACAGATATTATCAAGTTGAATCCAACAATGGATTAAAAGAAAACCTCTTCTGTCCCTAAAATGCTGATATACCTCCTGGATGAAAAAGACCATCTTAGGCTATCTGCCCATTTTGCAGTGGTATACACTGATAAATGTTTAACAGCCAGCTCTCTTGGAGTAAGGAGGAAAGTCTGATTTATAGCATCTATATTTTTTATGGTACAAAACACTCCCACCATGGTCAATATCTACCTATTAATGTGATGTCATGAAACTCCCAGTGGGAAGAGACACATGCTTTCAGAGGCTGGATCCAGAACACCACTGACAGTATGCCATAATAACAGCTAAATTCAATCGGTTTAGGGGCTGAGAGCTAACCAAAGAAAGTCTAAATAACAGTAAGCCAACAGAACAGTGAGCAAAACAGCAGTAAGCCAATAGTTACTCAATAAAAACAAAAAGAAAAAAAAACCCTTGAGTTTTGTTTTAGGACATGTACAAATATCATTTAGCTTTTCATTATATAGATATCATAGCTGATAAAGTGTACAAAGATTAATCAGGTATTTCTGGTTCTTTTTACTTTGATATGTTATTATAATTAGCTTTCTAATTTTTCAAGATTCAAATAATTTTGGCTTTTTTTTTAAGATTTCATAAGAATATTTAATTTTTATAATAGGTATTCTGAGCTGCAAATTAAGACACCCAGGATCTAAGTGAATAGGCTTAGGAATCAGATCAACTTGCATACAAATCCTTAATTCACTTTTTAGTAGTTATACAACCTCAGTAAATTATCATATATTTTCTCATATCAAATATTTATCATATAGTTTCCTGAATTGTGCAATAGAATGCAATACCCAATGCAGAGGGAAACTATCTCATTTTTGTCAACATCCCTTTTTTAGACCATCTCAGGTCAAGTATCTCTTCCAGGTATGCGCTATCACTTCAACTCTTTTGAGTTTGTTCTGTATGCTTATCAGTATGTGAATGATATTCTCTGTTTACCATTCTAATTCTAGCAGTTAGAACAGTGCCTTGAACACAGACTGGGTGCTCAATAAATAGCTGTTGGATTAATCAGTGATTTAAGGGATGAATTAGTGAATCAACAGCCACTCTTCTATTCCACAGGATTTCTTTCAGGCTGTCAAGCCAGGAGCCCTGCCTCTCTTGATCTACTGTGGGTAAGTAGCACAGGCTGGCTCTCAGAGCAGTATCCTTCTCTTGGACTCCCTGAGTTCAGAGGCGAGCCTGGGACTCACAAAATCAAGCAGCGTTCCTTCCCAGGGGCTGATACCAATTCTGAGAGAGAGGAACTCTTCTGCTCTGAGGGCTTAGATTTCAAGGCCATTGTAGGTGGGCTACAGTTCATGGGGTCGCAAAAAGTTGGATGGACATGACTGAGTGGCTAACACACTAAGATCCTGAATCACTGATGATAAACTTTGAGAAAGGAAGTACCTTTGTTTTCCAAGATATACCCCAATACAACTATGTGCATGCAAGCTCAGTCATGTCTGACTTTGCAACCCTATGGACAGTAGCCCACCAGGCTCTTCTGTCCATGGGATTTTTCTGGCAAGAATACTGGAGTGGGTTGCCATTTCCTTCTCGAAGGGTATCCTCCTGATCCAGGGATCAAATTCAAGTCTCTTGCATCTCTTGCATTGCACGTAGATTCTTTACCACTTGAGCCACTGGGGAAGCTACACAACATGAATTTACATACATCTGGAATGTATTCAAATATTTTCTGAAATTTTTTCATTTCAATTTTTCACCTTAATTATATCCTTTTAGAGGTACCTTTATTTTCATTAATTTATCTTTTACAGCAAAATTGTCTTGTGATCTATTTAGTTATGTGGCAATACTGCTTGCTTGGCAGCAAAAATTCTTACAGTGACGATACCTAGAACCCTAAAATACCTATGTTGTTTCACAAAGTCAAAAATGACACGTAGATATAGTTCTAAGCATGGTTCCTAGCACATGACATTTATTGAGTGAATGTAGCTAATGACATTTTTCTCCTTGCCAGCTGTGTGTTTCTGGGCAGGTCTTTAACCTCTCTAAACTTCATTTTTCCTGTCTGAAAGTGAATCACTGGATTAGCTGTTATCTAAGGTCTTCAACATCTCTAAAATTCTATTAATTTGATTACATTTAAATGATGTAAAAATATATTACAGTTTGGAACGCTTTCTCATGTTCACTTAAATCAGGTACTTGAATTAACACTGATTTAATGTCACACCTCCATAAGTTCATCCATGAGACAGAAGTGAGAACACAGAGAATGTGTTCAAGGGTTTAGGCCATAACATCTCTTCCTAATAAAGAAGAAAAGGTAATTATAACGCCTTTGTATGGGCTTCTCTCTGGGTTCTTACCTGGGCAAGGCCGAATGTTGCACATGATGGTTTCCACGGCAGTCCCTTCACACGGCCGCCCACCGTGCTGAACTGATGGATTATTGCAAGTTCTGGTCCTGGTTCGGTTGCCACGTCCACAGCTCCTCGTGCATTCTTCCCAGGAACTCCACTCTGACCAGTTCCCATCCACTATCCAAAGGCGACACGGTAACACCATCAGAGACATTTCAATCGAAAGAACTTATACTGAGACAAAGCATAGTTAGGGGACAGAAGTGGGTATCTACTGAACCACGTGCCTGTCTGTCGAATAAAGAGGTGTACCTGGACACGGCTTCTGTTGACAGCTTTGCATTTCTGAATCCGATCCCTGGCAAGGCTTCCCACCGTTGGCTGGAGAGGGGCTGTTGCACAGACGACTCCTCTTCTGGACCCCTTTCCCACAGGTGACGCTGCAGGGTCTCCAGGCCGACCACTGGGAAAAGCCACCGGGCACTGCAAAGAAAGCACTGTGCTCGGCCTCTGTGACCGTGAATACAAACCTGAGGCAGAGCTCATGGAGGTATGCCGGGGTCCCTCGGCCTCTGTGACCGTGAATACAAACCTGAGGCAGAGCTCACGGAGGTATGCCGGGGTCCTCGGCCTCTGTGACCGTGAATACAAACCTGAGGCAGAGCTCACGGAGGTATGCCCGGGGTCCTCGGCCTCTGTGACCGTGAATACAAACCTGAGGCAGAGCTCACGGAGGTATGCCCGGGGTCCTCGGCCTCTGTGACCGTGAATACAAACCTGAGGCAGAGCTCACGGAGGTATGCCCGGGGTCCTCGGCCTCTGTGACCGTGAATACAAACCTGAGGCAGAGCTCACGGAGGTATGCCGGGGTCCTCGGCCTCTGTGACCGTGAATACAAACCTGAGGCAGAGCTCACGGAGGTATGCCCGGGGTCCTCGGCCTCTGTCACGGTGAATACAAACCTGAGGCAGAGCTCACGGAGGTATGCCGGGGTCCCTCGGCCTCTGTGACCGTGAATACAAACCTGAGGCAGAGCTCACGGAGGTATGCCGGGGTCCCTCGGCCTCTGTGACCGTGAATACAAACCTGAGGCAGAGCTCACGGAGGTATGCCGGGGGTCCTCGGCCTCTGTGACCGTGAATACAAACCTGAGGCAGAGCTCACGGAGGTATGCCCGGGGTCCTCGGCCTCTGTGACCGTGAATACAAACCTGAGGCAGAGCTCACGGAGGTATGCCCGGGGTCCTCGGCCTCTGTGACCGTAAATACCAAACTGTGAGGCAGAGCTCACGGAGGTATGCCTGGGGTCCTCGGCCTCTGTGACCGTAAATACAAAACTGTGAGGCAGAGCTCATGGAGGTATGCCCTGGGTCCAGCGCTGAACCCAGAAAGGCTGAGAAATTGCTTATGGAAACTCTTCTTTACTCTAAAACTAAAACCGAAGCATCTAGGACATGGCTGTTGGAAGAGTGAGCGACAAAGACATTTATATGCTGTTTACCTTTTGGAAATATGTCATTCTTTGAAGCAAAACTATGCACTGATTTTTGAGAATAACGTTTGGGATTTTGAATTATTAACTTGGTATTCTGCAGCTCTCATCTGTATTGTTTTTAATCTCTTCAGTTTGTAATGTGATTTTTGTCCTATCCCTATAATCTATAAGTATCTTGAGGGGACAAGGGATGTGGCCTAAGATGCTTCATGAGTTTTATTGTTTAGATTGCCCCAGGTTCTGTTTAACAAGAATATCTCAGGGTAAATGAATATCACACTCACCCTGGACTATGACTGGCACTCTCACAAGGACAGAACCCATCAAGTTTCGAGCAACGCATTCATACTCGGACGTATCTTCTTTCTGAGCAGCAGCGATATGTAATGAGTTGTTGGACAACACATTAATTCGCTCATCCCAGAGGATAGAGTGCCCTTGACGGGACCATGTAATGGTTGGATGAGGCTCTCCAGATGCTTGACAATTCAAGATGACTTTGCCGCCAGCATTAATAATAGTTTCTACTGGTTCAAGAGTGATAATAGGAGGACCTATGGAGAAAAGCACATGTTTCTTAGTTTTTGTGGAATTATATTAACATTGTGAGTCATACTATATAATAACACTATTTAGAAAAAAATTACGCTGATTTTTTTTTTTAATACAGTGTAGCTTCTCAGTGGTTAAGGTTGTAATTGCCATTGACAGAATGTTTTATTTAGTAAATGGTAAAAATTTTAAATCCCTAAGCAGTCTAGCCTAGAGCATAGGCTCTGCAGTTGTGCTTCTCTGGATTCACATTCTGCTTCTGCTCTTTACTACCTTTTTGAATCACTGTGTCCTTAAAAATGGTGCCTAGTTCAGAGGAGCTTGTTTGACTCAACTAAGATGATGTAAGCACAGATCTTCAACAATAGACAAGACAACAATATTAGTACTACTGTTCTTATTGTTTTTGTTGTTATTGATTTTGTCTGTGTTTTACATGGTGAACATTCAGTTCTCTTCCTTACATCATTTTTTGAGGTAAAGAGTCATTATTAAGTTATTCTTTCATCACTGATCATCATTCTCAATATATACATATATTGAGAATTTATTTCTTGCCAGGCATTGTGCACAGATACAGTTTCTAGTTTCAAGGGACTCAGAGTCCATTTATAAGACAGACAAGTAACCAATTATTGAGCTATAATATACATATAAAATTTAGTAACACAATAGGTAGAACAGAATTTAGTAAAGAATAGATAAATGTATGGTAACATGAGAGCATAAACAATAGTGACTCAATACATCAAACAAAAGCATGTCTCTGGAAATGAAGAGGTAAAGGAAGACATTCAAGAATTATCAAGAAAGTAGGAGTGATAGGAGTTAGCCATTCAATAGTATGGCATAAAGGGAGGAACTGATGACTACAGGGTTTTGATTTGGGGAATACAGTGTATCTTTGGGTAAATTCAGTAGAATATATGAGAAAGGACAGATTTATTAGGAAGGAATAAGGAATGATGATTCACATCCATTTAGAAATGACAAGCTTGAGATATCTGTAGGACAGTCAAGTGGAGATGTCTAGATATTCATATCTCAAGCTCAGAATAGAGATAGAAGATTGCTTCAGGAGTGAGTCTAAAATGAGAGGGAGAGATCCAAGACAGAAATGATGGCAGCATTATTAGGTAAGAAAAGGACAGAAAATGAGCCTATAAATGATACTCAGAGCTGATCACTGAGGAAGGAAGAAACTCAGGAGAAAATGGTATCCCAGCAACCAAAGTGTGTTTCAAGGAGGATTGAGAGGTCAACAGTATCTGTAGTGGATGACAGCTGTTCAAATGAAGTTACTGGAAAGATAAACACTATGCCACAAACTTTTTCTAGTTCCTTTTATCTGTATACTGGTCTCCAGTGTTAAAGAGAATATGAAGGACTTCATGGAGAAGCAGCTTGAACTGGATTTTTAAAAAAGTGAGTAAGAATACATAGAGGAGAAGGGAACTGCCGTGGAGAGAAGGAAACAGCACAGAGACAGAGTTAGCTCTGAAAGGTGATTCAGCCTGGACAGCAGTAGCATGCAGGTTTTAAACATTTGGTGAAAATCTTAAAAGAAAATCTAAAGGGTTTACATTCGAATAGGTGAGAATAGGGGAGTGTGTTTTTTCTTGATAGACTATGACAGGATGACAGCAGTGTTTTAGTGAGACTGAACTGAATGGTGGAAGGATTGGTTCAACAAACAGTAATGCCTATAAGATAATTCAGGGTGGTGGCTGCATATTACAGACCAGGAAGTGTATCTGGTATGTATCTGGAATGACAGAACACAAAACAAAAACAGAAATAAAATGTGTTTTACTACTATGATAGTATTTTATGTAAAAGCATCACTGACATGTTGTCTTTTACAAAAGTAATTATTTCACATGAGGTTTGAATCTTTCAGTGTTATTAATGTATTATTCATATATATGTCCACATCATCCTCAAATTGCATTCTTGCTTGATGTTTATATTAAAATCACTCTTAAGAACTTTCCGGGCTCTAAGAACACCCCCCCAGTTTCAGATTATATTATGTATTCAATAAACTATTGTTGAATGAAGTAAATGGCTCAGATTAATCATGCAACACACTAAATAAGAACACTGAATAAATAAGCCTGTTCATATTATTATGGTCAAAAAACTGTTAAATAAAACTAAGAATCTTAATTTAGATTTCATATTTGAACATTTCCAACATTATAAATATATGTAAAAAAATTCCATACATACATCTTTCAAAGTTGAATTAATTCTATCAGTCATACAATAATTTGTTAAATATGAGCATTTTATCTAAAAGAAGACATTCCTTATGGTACTTTAATCTCAATTTTAAACATTATATTTTTTATATCCCTCATTTATTACAATGAATTTATTGCAGTTTTTCTTAAACTTGGCCAGTGAATCACTCTTCCATGGGAGATTAATTGTGAGATGCCCTACATACATTCACCCAAGAAAGCAGGGAGGAGGGTTTCATGAGAATAACAATTTTTTGGGGGAAATTTAGAATATTATATCCTCTTCTAATTGAGTTAAATTCACATCTGCATGCTAATATTTCTGGAAATACCTGCAGTAAAGAAAACTGGTACACTTAAGCAAAGCTTGGCATATAGTAGGTGCTTTTATATATGTAACTATATATATATATAAATATATATATATTTAATAAATGAAAACTTTGTTTAATCTATTTTTCTCATAATTATTCAATCATGGCATTCTACTTTTCTCCTAATGATATCCATAAAGTTATTATTTGGTACATATGTATTTTAGTAAAACACTATCTTAGACACAGAAACAAGCTTATGGTATGTGTATCTATATATATACACACACATACAATAGAATATTATTGAGCCATGAAAAGAAGGGAATCCTGCCATTTGTGACAACAGGGAAGGCATTATGTTAAGTGAAATATGCCAGACAAGAGGCAAATAGTTGTGTGGTGTCACTTACATGTAGAATCTTAAAAAGTCTGGCGGTTGCCAGGGGCTGAAGGATGGGGGATATGGGGAGATACTGGTCAAAACATACAAACTTTCATACAAAAATGAGTAACTTTTGAGAATCTAATGTATAGTATGATGACTACAGTTAGTAACACTGTACTGTATACTTGAAATTTGCTGAGTAGACCTTCAATATTCTCACCAAAAATCCCACAGAAAACAAACCAAAAACAATGTGTGAGGTGATGAATATGTTAATTACTTGACTGTGGTAATCATTTTACAGTGTATTCAATATATGTATATCAAATCATCACACTGTACACTTCACTTTTTTTCACCACGCCACATGGCATGTAGGATCTTAGTTTCCTGACTTGGTATTGAACCTGCACCCCCAGCAGTTGAAGTGCAGGGTCTTAACCAGTGAACCACCAGGGAAGTTCTACACTGTACGGTTCAAATACACATAGTTTTATTTGTCAGTTATACCTCACTAAGGCTGCAGGGGGACCACTGTCTTCAATATCTATTAAATATCTATTCAGCATTTCAGAGAATATATAGAAATAAAGAAATATCTATTCAAGTTTTAAAGAGTAGTTTGGTAAACAGCTGTTAGTAAATGCTGGTCTACAGCATCTCTTAATAGTGAATAAAAAATGTAAATTCATTCCATTAAATACTGAGCCTATTCACAAAATAAACTGATTTCCTTAACTTAATGACACTGTTCTTGGGTCAGCCCCTGAAGTGGTCCTGGGGACTGTCCACTGAGCCACTTGAGTCTTTAATGCTTTTCAAATTATGAAAACCTGCCTTCTGATTGTTTATACTGAGGACCCTCATCACAAGCATGCTCATCCTGCCCAGAACACACAGATACTTCACAACAGATTGACAGCAATCGATCCAGAGAATTCTTGAATTCATTTACATTAGTCTTAATTTTTAACACCTAGCTTTAAAGTGCCGTAAAATGACATCTTTGTAAGCTCCTTACAAGAATGGTAGGGAGCTATAAAAAGGGTATTTGACTGAATATATTGCAAACAACAACAAAAGCTCTGATACCAAACCACTGCAAATTTGAACTGCATATGTTAGGTAAAACAGACAGAAATACCTGTGCAAAGTTGTATCAGTCTTCTGGTTGATAACAATTGCTCTATCAGCAGCAGAAAACTAAATTATACTCTGAAACCTACCATTAATGTATTTGCTAGAAAGTTAAATGAACAATTATATGGACATTTCTTCAATCAAGTGTTTAAGTAATTAAGCAGCTTACTCTGCAAAGTCAGACTCATGCTGCGTTCCACCACCCCAGCTTCATTGGTAGCTACGCACGTATAATCACCAGCATCTTCATTCTACGGAAATAAGCAGTGTTTTATAAAAATAGGACCCTACAGAGCAGAGAAAAAAATTTTTTTTCACTGTGAGCTTGTTTATGCAATTGTGTTTATGAGAAGGTATTTTAATAAGAATAGGAAAACTTACATATATTTAACCATACAAATAGATTAAAAAAAAAAAAGTTCTTAGCCTAATTTTTTTTCCTAAACAACCTAGGGAACTCTCAGGGAACAATAACTGGTAGAAACCAAAGCTGAAATACCATTTTTTATAATGATTTATCCAAAATTATCTTAGTAAAGAAAAATGCCAATATATTCTTATAGATATCTTAAAAAGCATTAAATATTCAGAATAAATGAACAAATATCTAGTTCTTTGTTACAGAGGTTATTAAAAAAGCATTAATCTTAGCCTCTACTTTAGAAGCTTGAAATGTAGGAAAGAAAGTGAAAAACTAATTTACAGGTGACGCAAATCACAGAACATAAGTGATAAATTTATACATATCTGATATAGAAAAGAAGTACAATATGAATTTAGATTTGATGACTAATTAGAGATTTTGCTAAGGTCTTATGAACAGAAGAATTCTGGTCTTGTTAATAAAGAGAGTAAGTCAACTAAGGGGAAATGAAATGCAGGAAGTGGAAGAGGGTAGGAGAAGAAAGATGGATGTTGGTTTAGATATTTAATCAAAGTATCAATGCATGATCCAGACAGAAATTTCTAGTAGTAAACTGTGGATGGAACTTGAAAGAGTTTCAGGGTTGAAGGTATAGGGTTAGGAATCTGAAATTGTGTGGTGGAAAATCAGTATTAATATTAGAAGAAGTACCAAGGACTTCAAAAGTAATTATGTTTGTGTAGAGGAAACTCCAATACTTTGGCCACCTGATGTGAAGAGCTGACTTATTTGAAAAGACCCTGATGCTGGGTGAGATTGAGGGCAGGAGGAGAAGGGGACGACAGAGGATGAGACGGTTGGATGGCATCACCGACTCAATGGACATGGGTTTGGGTGGACTCTGGGAGTTGGGGATGGACAGGGAGGCCTGACGTGCTGCGGTTCATGGGGTTGCAAAGAGCCGGGCACGACTGAGCGAATGAACTGAACTGAACTGAACTGAAAGCGGGGAAAGCAGCAGTGAAGACGCAGAGACTGATTAGTGTAGCCAGAGGTAGAAATCATCTCAAAATTGAAGGAACAGTCAACAACATCTAATGCTGAAATAAAACCAAGCTGAATAAAAGACTGAAAGAGGTCCATTGGAACAGGTCCATTGGACAGTATAGTCTAATTATGATTTCCGTGAATTCAACAGTGGGTTAACAAATAACTCACCTTTAGTTAAGAATTTTTTAGATAAAATATCTCATTCATTTGACCCTCAAATTAGAATAATTTAAAGTACTAATATTGCCTGAATTACTGAAGCTTTTGGAAAGCCTGATAAAGTTGTTGACTTAGTGATGAAATCTACATTGTATTTAAAATGGTGTTTGTAATTCTTCAAGTTCCTCATTCTGAAACAGATTTGAGGAAGTTACCTACTGATGATGAATAATAGGTCAATGATAGAGAACAAAGCAGCAAAATTTTTTTTATTGCTCATACTCCCTTCAAAGGGCTAAAAATCAATTTGAGCTATCCTTTCAGTTTTTTAAAAGAACCCAAGATTTATGATTAAAATAGGAATGCAGAGAAACTTCCATGGCACCCACAGAGAGGTGTTGATTGTGACATTTAAAGTGTGTACTGACAATTCAGTGTGACTTACTACAGTGCCATAAATGGCCAATGAACCATTGCCAAGTTGCCGGATTCTGTGGCTAATTTCAATATCAATCCCCCTTCTGCTCCACTGGATGGTTGGGGCGGGATCTCCTTTCACCTCACAGTTCAGGATTGCATTACCACCAAGTGGTTCAATCCAGTTAGAAGGGTAATCACCTTTGAAGACTGGAGGTTCTGGGAAATAACAAAAGACGAGTGTATATCAGTCTTTGTGATTCTTTGTGATTCTAACCTATTTAAAAGATAATTTAGTGAAGAGGGGAAAAGCCACTTTTGAGCCCCATGAATCTTCCAGAATCAACTGCTCATGCTAATCGACGAGGGAATTTTGTCCACTTCAAATAATCTAAGTGGACAATTCCATTTTGTGCCAAATGATCTCTTTACATACTGCTTACCTACTTTTGAGATGAATGTTCATAATTTTTTTTATATCTCATGAGTTTGCACATCTGTGAAATAAGACTAAATTAATAAACTGAAGTTACATCATATTACTATACAATAGGGATGCAAAATACAAACCATTTATCATAAATATTAAAAATAGAACACTTTCACCTACCTTTCACATAAACAAATCCAATTGCCTTCACAAAACCAACGCTGTTTTCAGCAGTGCACACATAAGTGCCTGAATCCTCTTTTGATATCCTTTCAATAACAAGTTCACTGTGTCCATTGATGCTGTCAAAGTGGGCTGAAGGAAAAAAGGTAGAAAGCAACACAAACGCCTCTCAGTAATCTCAGAAGATAATCACAACAGCTCAATATTTTGCAGGTTAGATTTATTGAGTCAGTCAGCAATTCAACCAAAGAGATCTCATTATGACACTGGAGGAGAGAGCCCTTTCCCGAGATTTCTTCCTCTGAGCTATTTGCTATGTCTCTAGACACTTGTTTGAAGAATGAAAAACAGCAGAAGGAACAGGAAAAAAGAATGAAAACAAACATCTTCTAAAATTATTTTCGATTGCACCTTTCATCTCAAAGAGTTGCCTAAAGCTGGCTTGCACTCTCTCTAGGTTTCAAAACTCTTTCATTCAGAAATATGACATTTTCCATTTCATTTCTCTCACCACCACTTTTCCCAAACAATTTACATCAAGAACATGAAAACCTTTTCAGTTATAATTCAACTGACCTGGCAGCTCAGAGGGAAAGTCATGAACACCTACGCTAGTTAGGTAATAATGACAAAATTAAATTTGTAATAATTTGAACTTGCCCGTAAGTGGTAATGATATAAATTACCAAAGGTACTTTCAATACTTGGAATAGAGTATAAGATAAATATGCAAATCCTAAAACAATCGATACTAAATAAGATTCCGATTAGACCAACCAATATCTAATTACATTAAGTATGTTTACTTTGCAGGTTCTCTCCCATTCAAATTATTATTATTATTTTTTTAGTATAATTGCTTTACAATGTTGTGTTAGCGTTTGTTGTACAACAAAGTGAATCAGGTATATGTGAACATATATCTTCTCCCTCTTGGACCACCCCTGCCCCCCCCAATCCTCAATCCCACCCATCTAGGTCATCACAGAGCACGGGGTTAAGCTCCCTGTGCTATATAGCTGGTTCAAATTATCTTTTAAAGTTTTCATACTGCTGAATAGTAAGTGGAAAATTAAGCTTTTTTTTTTTTTAATTAAGCTTTAAACATTTAAATATCTCAGTTAGTATTATATCCTCAGAAAACAGTACTGATTAGGTTTTTCAGAGTTTATTTTTCTTTGAAGTATATTATACTATTACTGTTAAGGTGACACAGCTGATGAATTCTAGTTATCATAAATCTTTATAACAGAAAACTCAAGCTTATTACTAACTTTCTAGCAAGGCATTTATTAAATACTAATAGTGTAGTACTTCAGAACTCAGTTTTGGGAAGCAACAATTTCTTTTTACAAACAGTATTTTTGTGCTGGTGATAAAAGTCAAATAGATAGAAACACATCTTCCCCGGGATGTGTGGCTCTACCTGAACATGCAGTGCACACACAGACTGGAAACTGTTTACTTAATTGATCTACACTCTGATAGTGGATTAGAGAGCTTAATTCATACAGTGAAAAGTACAGTCTCTGTAAAATCAGGTGAATCTTCAGGGCTCTCTCAGTCATCTTAATCCATTTATCAATAAGGAAGGAGATCCCAGGTAGCTCAGTGGTAAAGAATTCTCCTGCCAATGCAGGAGCTGCAGGAGACACGAGTTTGATCCCTCGGTTGGGAATATCCCTGGAGGAGGAAATGGCAACCCACTCCAGTATTCTTGCCTGGGGAATCCTATGGACAGAGAAGCCTGGTGGGCTGCAGTCGGTGGGGTCACAAAGAGTCAGACATGACTGAGTAAGAACAGTGAAGAGGTCCGGGGGATACATTTGGGCATCTGTGTATATGACTTCTCAGGGGGAAGGGAGATACTTTTAGGTTAAAAAACCTACCTATATCCTTCAATATATGGTCCTGTGATCAACATGTCCTTTCTAAAGAATGAAAAGAGCACATATACTGGGCATAGGCTAAAATCCAGGCGAAAGTACACATTTTACAGAATTTAAAGCCATCAATTCATTTAACTTTTCAATCAATTCCCACAGTTAAAGAAAATAGAGATAGGTTTTGAGTTCTCTATCAGTGTACTTATTCACTTCTTAAGAATTAAAGTACCAACCTGGGATAATATTGTTATTGAAGGTCCATGTTAACTTGGGCAATGGAATACCAGTTGCTTTACAGTTTAATCGGAGCTGTTCTCCCTTATTTAATGACACATCTCCAGGGAGTTCAGTAAAAGTGGGAAGAACATGAACAGTCAGGCTGATGGTGTGTCTGTCTTCACCTGCAGCGTTGTTAGCAATGCAGGTATAGGTGCCAGAATCCTCCGGCTTAAAGAAAGAAAAGTCGCTGTGCATAAAATGACATGATCTTACATCATATTACATATAATTCATAAAACTGCATAGCTTGGTCCCCAAAGGAACACTCTAAAGAGGATTTAAATTTCCCTCTTTTAGTCTGAACCATCTGGCTAGTTTTTACAAAGCATAATTTACAACGTTTAAGAAATTAAACAAAAGTCCATATCTTACAGAACTATAGCATTTTACAGTAATAAGATCTTAGAAAACTTTAGATTATACAGTTTTACTAAACATCAACTGTTGTACTGCAATGTACAACTAAAGAGCAAATTTATTCCTAAAGGCTGTTAGAATCTTGATGGCATAGCTGGTTCTCTGGGTAATGTGGCACCAAGGACCATGAAAATAATCAAAGGAAACGGCAAGAGTCAGGGCAATTAGCTGCAATCCCAAGATTTCACTTGCTAAATCCAATGGCCAGCACTCGGCAATCATTTTACTAGAAGTTTTAGAATTTGACACAATTCTGGCCTCCTTCTTTTTAAAACCATTTCTTCACTTGGCTTCCAGGACACCCCATTCCCCTAGTCTCCTTTCTGCCTCATTGATTGCTCTTCTTTGATCTCCCTTTGCTGGCTTCCCGTCCACATCAATGTGTCAATGTAGGTATATGAGAGGGCTCAGTCTCTGTTCCTCTTTTCTTCTGTCCACACGCAACTTGGTTTTAATGGCTTTAAATACCACTGACATGCTGAGATGAGTACCAGTGTGTCCAGCCCAGGTGTTTCTTCCAAACTCCAACTGGACTGAACTTCTCACTCCAACACTCTGCTTGGTTGCCTAAAAGACATCTCAAGCCCAAGTGCAAAACCAACTTCCCCGCTTCCCCTTTCTGCTCCATCTGCAGCCTTCACTCCATCTCAGTTGATGGCTGATTTGTTCTTCCAGCTGTTCATGACTTTGCCCTCAGACACTGGAGTGTTTGTTTATTCTTTTTCACACTATTTTCAGTCTAGCTAGGAAATCCTAGCTTCAAAGTATACACAAAATCCAACCACTTCTCACCCACCCCTTCTCGGCTGATGTTCTGCTTTGAGTCCTATAATCTCTCATCTGGCTCCACACCATCTTCCCAACTGGTCTTTGGCTTCTCTCCCTGCCTCCCTACCATGTATTGTCATCACAATAGCCAATGCAATATTGCAAAAACATAAGGTGGGCAGCATTGCTCCCCTGCTCAAAGCCTGATTAATGGATTCTGATTTTACTCAGAGGAAAATGCAAATTGTTACATGGGACTGCGAAGAGTCGGACACGACTGAGCAACTGAACAGCAGTAAGGCATTGCGTGTATCTGGTCTTCATTTTTCTTTGACTTCTTTCTCTCTCTCCCTTTGTTTTCACTGGTCTCCTGTTTCTCAAATATATCAGGCATGTTCCTACATTTTTTTTTTTATTCTTTCCACCCACCTTCATTTCTTTGCCCCCCAAATCTGGGGTAGGGGATCCCAGTTTTCTGCCTCTCTCCCAGGCAAAGAAAATGGGATGCTCCTCTCCCAGATATCTGCTTAGCTAATTCACTTCCTTCAAATTTTGCTCAAAGTGTTTGCTTCCCAGAGGACATTTATTCTAACCATGCTATTTAAAAATGTAACTTGTACTCTTCCAACTTCTGATACCTTCTACATGTTCTTGTTTTATTTTTCATACCAGTTGTTTTCTTTTGAATTGTATACATTCTTTATTTTTATTTTTTACTATTTTATTATTATTATTTTGAGATATATGCATCATTTATTTTTATTTGTTATTGACTATCTCCCTCCTTAGGAATAAACTCCATGAAGGCAAGGATCTTTGATTGTTTTGTTCAATGTATTTATTCCCAGTGTCTAAATCTGTGCTGATCATAGAGAAGGTACTCAATACTCAATAAATATTTGTTAAAGTAACAACTGAATGCTTCTGATTGTATTAAGGTCCATAGCATAGACTTTACCTTCTTTTTTTAAAAAGAAGTTTAAGAATAGATTTTCTTTTCATTGAAGCATCAAGTAATTGGCAATGCAGCATAAAAAATATAATCACTTACTATAGATACAATCTAACACTGGTAGGTTTCATAATGATTTTTTAAGGGCAAACAGAAATAAATCATATTCCATGTAAATGTCTCCTCACCCTGACACCACTGAGCTACTCTTAAATTCCTGGATCTTAACATCTTAAGTTTAAAAATCAAAGATTTTATGGAAGTGAAGCTTTGGAAAATCCAGATTATACATATTACTCACAGACAGACTTATCACTTGTGTCTTTCATCTGATATTTATAAGCTACCTTATTGTTGCTATTTTAAAAAATTTATCCCAGTTATCCCACTAAAAGTTTAAACTTTTCTCATTTAATTCCTTCAGGTCTGTAAGAGTGATTGAGAGGTCAAATTCAACATTCTTGAATTTGATAGTATACCAGAGACTGTATACCAGTTTAAACAAACAAATTTAACATTATTTTATCATTTTTAAGTTCACATTTTTAACTTTTAATAGCTCTGAAATTGGGATACAATGTAAAAATTGATGGTCTTCTCTAGTTTACTTGACTGAATTTTTTTTCTTTTTTTCTTTCTTAGTGGTACCTGAAATAAAGGTGCATCTTACAATTGATGGAAACTTAGATTTGAATAAATACAATTTCTGCTTGCACATAAGATCAAGTTAGCCTATTCCTAGGGTTATTTATCTGGTAATCAAGGAATCCAGCTAACAGCTGAAATTATACTATGAAGTGAATATGATCAATTTTATCCATTTAATCTGTTTGAATTTAATTCTATGAAGATTTTATAATGAAATTTAGGTACTCTGAAGGGTAGTGAAAAGGAATAATGAAAGTGTTAGTCACTCAGTTATGTCTGACTCTTTGTGATCCCATGGACAGTAGCCCACCAGGCTCCTCTGTCCAAGGAATTCTCCAGGCAAGAATACTGGAGTGGGTAGCCATCCCCTTCTCCATGGGATCTTCCTGACCCAGGGATAGAACCTGGGTCTCCTGCATTGCAGGCAGATTCTTTATTGCTTGCGCCACCAGGGAAGCCCAAAGACAGGCACAAAAGCTCTGAAAGTGATTCACGTTTTAATCATGTTTAGTAGTTGGTACACTGAAACCACATGATAATTTTTAAAAGTCATGTGGTATGCATAGATCTAGATTCTTCTTCAAATGGGCTAATACTGAAAAAACAGATGCTTCCCATAGCTACCATTCTGCAAACTGGAGAAATACCACCTAAGAATATTCAAAATTCCCAGCTTGCACAGATTCCTAAGACTGAGAGTTATTTAAAATCCTGAAAAGAGCAAAAGGCCTGTTTTTTGTATTTACTTAATAATACATCAAACGTTCTTACACCTCTATTCTTTGAACAATTCTCATGCACTGTTACAAGCACGGAATATAATAGAGGCCTAGAATTTTCCTGATAAACAAAGATTTTCACAAAAATAAAATAACTTTAGAAGAAAGTCATTTATAAGTTCCCATGATGTACTAAATACAGTTCTCGGGAACATAAAATGAAATACGTATAAAATTAATTTTTTGACCTGCATTTATATGGGTACTTTTCTTTCATGATTAAATAATACATGGAGATTCCCTGGTGCTTCAGTGGTTAGGACCTGGCCCTTTCACTGCCATGGAACAGTGTGACCTCTGGTTAGGGAACTAAGATCCCACAAGCTGTGTGGCACAGCCAAAAACAAAGCAAAAACAAAAGCAAAAAATACATTTTCAAGCTAAGTCACTAAAATGGTGAATTAATAATCTGTCTCAATGTATCTCTTCATATTTATTAAACTTACCACAACATTTTCCAGGATAAGCTCTCCATAGGGTTCGACAGTATATTTTCCTAACAAGTTAGACAAAAGAACATTGTCTTTTTTCCAGTTAATTGCTGGTGTAGGGATTCCATCAGCCACGCATGGAAGAACGGCTTGTGAATTCTCATTGACTGTGTAATGTACTTCTGTGCTTTGGATTGTAGGTGGTACTATAAAGAGTTTTAAAAAAGAAAGTCATTCGGGATGTTGAGTTCAATCATTATTCACATTGAAAATGAACACATAATTGATTCTCTTGAGAGTAACTTGGTAGAAATACTAACAAAATATATCAAGTCATTTGTTTGTTACTCTGAAAGCAATCAATATTTTTGACACCAGCAAGAATTCTAAGGCATTTGTACATGTTGGATGTATTTACAATGAGCCTCTGAAAAAACGACATTGAACTGGTGAGAAATATTTAGATTTTATTTGACTTACTGACTCTCCCTTGAGTTTCTTTTGTTTATTGCAGTGAAATAAAACAAACGAGCAATTAAAGCCAAAACCACTTCTATAGTTGTATAACTGTTGGATTTGTATCACAGAGATATTGTGAGGATAAACGAATAAAACTCACTAGTTTAAAACACTATAAAATACCTCACAGTAAAGCTAAAGAAAAAAATTTATTGCAGTACTCTACATATTACAACAAATGTAAGTAAAACTGGTGAAAACATTTAATTTAGTTTTTATACTATCACAGAGAAAATGTTTTATAGTGATTTCATAATTTCACGCAAATACTGCTTATGCTTCAAATTTTTTGAAATGGAATTTAGGCAACATGGAAAGATCAACTGAATATTTCAGGGTACGAAGAAATACCTTAGAGAATTCAGAACTAAGATATTTACTTCTAACAGAAAAGTTTAAATATGTTAAGAATACTTGACTAAAAAGTAAAAATATACTCTCCTCTCAAAACAGTAAATTTCAGAAATATTCAAGTACATCAGTGAGAAATGGATCAACTTTTTTCACAAATTTTTTTACAGAACAAAAATAGGTTTCAGCAAAAAAAAAAAGATTATATGGATATGCAAACACTGTATGAATAATTATATGCATAAACAGGCTTCCCTGGTAGCTCAGTTGGTAAAGAATCTGCCTGCAATGCAAAAGACCCTGGTTCAATTTCTGGGTCAGGAAGCTCCCCGAGGGAAGGGATAGGCTACCCACTCCAGAATTTTTGAGCTTCCCTGGGGGCTCAGATGGTAAAGAATCCATCTGCAGTGCAGGAGTCCTGGGTTCGATCCCTGGATTGGGAGGATCCCCTGGAGGAGGGCATGGCAACCCACTCCAGTATTCTTCCTGGAAAACCCCATGAACAGAGGAGCCTGGCAGGCTGCATTCCATAGGGTTACACAGAGTCCGACACAACCGAAGCCACTTTAGCACGCACATACGCGCACATGCATGTATAAACGATAGATAACTTAAAAAAGCCTAAAACCTATTTTGTTCAATGGTATATCATAAATATCCAATTCGTTTTCATTAATTTATGCTATATATGCATTATCTCCTTTATCCTGGTTTCCCTGGAGTTGGTATTTCAACTTTGCTAACAGTTATAAAGTTGCAACACTAGTGCATTTACTTATTCTTTTTCAAAATGAAAATTTTAAGGCTGTGACCACTATACTTGATTTTAGCTTTGGGTACATACAATACATTTTGATATGTGGTGTCCTAATTTTTATGATTTTCTAAATAATTTGAAAATAAAATCATATTCTTTGACCTACTTGTTAATCAGAATGATAATTTTTAATTTGCTTCGGGTTCGGGTTTTGGCATTAAAAATTCATTACTCATTTCAAGCTTTATTGCATTGTGGGTGGGGATTGTGGCCTATACTTTTAAGTTATTATTAGTGATTTCTTTGTTGTTTGTGTGCACGCATGCTCAGTTGTGTCTGACTCTTTAGCTCTAGGCTCCTCTGTCTATGGGATTATCCAGGCAAGAATACTGGAGTGGGTTGCCATTTCCTCCTGCAGGGGATCTTCCTGACCTAGGGATTGAATCCATGTCTCCTGTGATTCTGAATTGCAGGCAGACTCTTCACCACTTAGCTACCTGGGAAGCCCTTCTTTGTTGTTTGGTGTACAGTTACTTTTGGTAAACTTTCTATAAACATGTGAAAAAATATTATTTATTTGAAACCAAAAGAGTAATGTTCAATTATATTAACTGAAAGCAAGAATAAAATTTTAGAAAACTCAAATACACCTGAAAGATTAAAAAACCACTTTCACAAATTTTTTAAAAAGGAAAAACAGAAACTTGTTATTAAAATGAGAGCTACTTCTGAAAATAGTAGTTGAAAAGTTTAATTTACTTCTTGTTTCTTACCACTGATATTAATGGTTATTCTATCTTTAGTCTTAAAATATATATTAATAACTGAAATATTTCAATGCTGATTTTTAGATATTTTATAAGTTGTCTGAATACAAAGGAAAAACAGGTTTTTTTTTCTATTACAAAAATATACCTGTAAATGTTTTGCTACTATAAAATAATGAATCAAATAGATCTCCAATTCTCACTAGGTTCACATTACAGTTATAAGGTAGGTCATATGCTGGTTAGTTTTGGACCAAGTGGACTTGCAACTTGAAAAGTAAAGCAGAAGAGCAACAAAACAAATGAACTCCTCATAAGTCAACTTATAGATTCCAATAGTCACCATATGAAAGTACTGGCAACAGATTAATTGTCCTGGCTTTATTAATAAAATCACTCTCACACAGGTATTTGCACAAATAACATAGTTGTGCCTACCAATAACATATTTGAAGGACAAGTGTACCTACACACCACATGCACACACCACACTCCGCTCTAGTTTGCTGTTTTTCATTTTTATTTCCATCATATTTTTCACTGGTGGTCTTTTTTCTCTGCCGTGGTAAAGTGGTAAACTGAAATAACTGATGCTAAACAACCTACCATGGACGGTGAGCTTGGCGCTCGTGCTGCTTGATCCTGCCACGTTAGCTGCCATGCACGTGTACTGGCCAGCATCACCAGGCTGAGCAAATGCTATCTGCAGAGCACCGGAGCTGAGGATGCGCTGGCGGACTGACTCCATAATTACATGCCCATCTTTATGCCACATGATGTCAGGTGGTGGGAGGCCATCTGCCTCACACGGTAGCATGATGGGTTTATCCACAACAGTGATGTATTCCTTAGGATGAGGGCTAATGACTGGAGGAACTAAAAGTTACAAAGTTTAAACATCATCTTGAAAGCGTGAATGTACTATTTATGCAATGTGGTCTTATTCTAGCACAATGAAGTCACGTTGTTAAGAAACAAAGCCCTGATTTTACCATATCATCACCAAACGATTGCTAGTTTGTTTTTGTTGGAAAAGAAGATTCTTTGAATCCATTGCAGAAAATCATTCTCTACATAGTTAACAAATATAAATGACAATCAATCTTAAGATTTAAATATGAACTCATGAGGGATTGTATGTCTAGAAAACTAAGACTGTGTTGATAGAGGTATTTTCTTTAACATACATGTATTATGTGATTCATTCATCAGTTCCTTAAACTTTCAAAATAGATCTCTTCAAGGTTTGGAAATTATTCACCTGCTCAGACCCCTTTATTCATGCTTTTCCTGCAGTGTTTATATGATCTCATATACTGGGATCATATTTAACAAAGTATTATTTTAATGAAAGAAGAAGTGGAATATCGAAAAGAATTACAATTAACCGTTGAACAATAAAGATTTAGGGATGATGACTCTCTGAACTACAGAAAATCCAAATTTAACTTATAGTTGGCTTCAGTATCCCTGGCCCCTCTGCATCTGTGGTTTTATATCTTCAGATTCAACCAACTTTGGCTCGTGCAGTAATGTAGTATTTCTACTGAATAAGTGGACCTGCAAAGAAATAGAGGAAAACAACAGAATGGGAAAGACTAGAGATCTCTTCAAGAAAATTAGAGATACCAAGGGAACATTTCAGGCAAAGATGGGTTCGATAAAGGACAGAAATCGTATGGACCTAACAGAAGCAGACGATATTAAGAAGAGGTGGCAAGAATACACAGAAGAACTGTACAAAAAAGTACAGTTAATCACGATAATCACGATGGTGTGATCACTCACCTAGAGACAGACATCCTGGAATGTGAAGTCGAGTGGGCCTTAGGAAGCATTACTACGAACAAAGCTAGTGGATGGGATGGAATTCCAGTTGAGCTATTTCAAATCCTGAAAGATGATGCTGTGAAAGTGCTGCACTCAATATGCCAGCAAATTTGGAAAACTCAGCAGTGGCCACAGGACTGGAAAAGGTCAGTTTTCATTCCTATCCCTAAGAAAGGCAATCCCAAAGAATGCTCAAACTACCACACGATTGCACTCATCTCACACGCTAATAAGGTAATGCTCAAAATTCCCCAAGCCAGGCTTCAGCAATACGTGAACCGTGAACTTCCAGATGTTCAAGCTGGTTTTAGAAAAGGCAGAGGAACCAGAGGTCAAATTGCCAATATCCACTGGATCATCGAAAAAGCAAGAGAGTTCCATAAAAACATCTATTTCTGCTTTATTGACTATGCCAAAGCCTTCGACTGTGTGGATCACAATAAACTGTGTAAAATTCTGAAAGAGATGGGCATACCAGACCACCTGACCTGCCTCTTGAAAAACCTGTATGCAGGTCAGGAAGCAACTGTTAGAACTGGACATGGAACAACAGACTGGTTCCAAATAGGAAAAGGAGTATGTCTAGGCTGTATATTGTCATCCTGCTTATTTAACTTATATGCAGAGTACATCATGAGAAAGGCTGGGCTGGAAGAAGCACAAGCTGGAATCAAGATTGCTGGGAGAGATATCAATAACCTCAGATATGCAGATGACACCACCCTTATGGCAGAGATTGAAGAGGAACTAAAAAGCCTCTTGATGAAAGTGAAAGAGGAGACTGAAAAAGTTGACTTAAAACTCAACATTCAGAAAACTAAGATCATGGCATCTGGTCCCATCACCTCATGGGAAATAGATGGGGAGACAGTGGAAACAGTGTCAGACTTTATTTTTTGGGGCTCCAAAATCACTGCAGATGGTGATTGCAGCCATGAAATTAGAAGACGCTTACTCCTTGGAAGGAAAGTTATGACCAACCTAGATAGCATATTAAAAAGCAGAGACATTACTTTGCCAACAAAGGTCCGTCTAGTCAAGGCTATGGTTTTTTCAGTAGTCATGTATGGATGTGAGAGTTGGACTATGAAGAAAGCTGAGCGCCAAAAAATTGATGCTTTTGAACTGTGGTGTTGGAGAAGACTGTTGAGAGTCCCTTGGACTGCAAGGAGATCCAACCAGTCCATCCTAAAGGAGATCAGCCCTGGGTATTCACTGGAAGGACTGATGTTGAAGCTTAAACTCCAGTACTTTGGCCACCTGATGTGAAGAGCTGACTCACTGGAAGAGACCCTGATGCTGGGAGGGATTGGAGGCAGGAGGAGAAGGGGATGACAGAGGATGAGATGGCTGGATGGCATCACCGACTCAATGGGCATGAGTATGAGTAAACTCCGGGAGTTGGTGATGGACAGGGAGGCCTGGCATGCTGCGATTCATGGGGTCGCAAAGAGTCTGACACGACTGAGCGACTGGACTGAACTGAACTGAAGTGGACCTGCACGGTTCAAATTGTATTGGTTAAGGGTTGACTTTGTACAGGCAGAACTCTTCCTACTTTGTCAGAAAATTGTGGACAGGCGTATGATAACAGGTTCTCTTCCCAGTGTTTACAATAGTGATTACCACTCAGGCTATTTTACTGAGCTTTAAAGACACATCACATAATTAGGAGAGAACAATCAAACACAAGTGAGGAACAACCAACCACAAGCACAGCAGAAAGGAAGGTAAGGCTGATGCCCCTCCAGTGTCAGTCAGTGCGAGTCCAGAGACACTGACAAGGTGCAGAAAACGACCCTGGTAAATTTACCTCTTTTAAACATGTGCAGGCCAAAAGAATAAAACCGTCTGAAATGTCTACCATCCATTAAAATATTACTTGTTACCACATGCTGTAAGAAACAAGGGGCTTCTGAGAACTCTACTGATCCAAGTTATGCCCTGTGGATAGCAAGTCCCAGAGACCTGGAAATATCTGCTGCATCTCTAGAGGAGGCTGGGCAGAAACAGCCAACCAAGTGAGATCAGATTTTAGGGTACACTAATAGTGATAAGTGGGCTTCCCCAGTGGCTCAATGGCAAAGAATCTGTCTTCAATGCAGAAGACAAAAGAGATGTGAGTTTGATCCCTGTGTTGGGAAGATTCCCTGGAGGAGAAAATGGCAACCCACTCCAGTTTTCTTGCCTGGAAAATTTCATGGAGAGAGGAGCCTTGTGGGCTACAGTTCATGGGGTTGCAGAGACAGACATGACCGAGTGCGTATGTGCACGCGCACACACACATGCACATGATGGTAATGAGTAAATAAAATCAACAAGTTGTGAAAAATATGAATAATTTAAAATTATTTGTATCAACCAAAGTTATCTGGTTGGTTTTCTGCTTGCTATTACATACTATATCTGTTAGAGATTTGTTGTTCTTGTTGTTCCCATTGCATGGCATGTGGGATCTTGTTCCCCGATCAGGGATTAAACCCATGCCTCCTGCATTGGAAGCATAGAGTCTTAACCACTGGACCACCAGGGAAGTCCCTACATATTGTATCTGAAAAGGGAGAGTCTATTCAGAGTTTTTCATGCCTCTAGAGTATGCAATTATCTCTGATTGCTTTTGGAATACTGAAATTCTATTAGTTGTTTTAATATGTTTCTTTGTCCCATAATTGCTCATGCAATTTTAATCAATTAGTGAAAGAAAAAATCCTCACTAATTCTTTTATATGATCCCAATGGATAAGATTGTGGGGGGAAATATCAATAACCTCAGATATGCAGATGACACCAAAGAGGAATTAAAGAACCTCTTGATGAAGGTGAAAGAAGAGTGAAAAAGCTGACTTAAAACTCAACATTCAAAAAACGAAGAGATTGGGTGGAGAGGGAGGTGGGAGGGGGGACCGGGATGGGGAATACATGTTAAAAAAAAAAAAAAAAAAAGATACACTATGGTTGTGATAAATAAATTAAAAAAAAAAAAAAACGAAGATCATGGCATCTGGTCCCATCACTTCATGGCAAATAGATGGGGAAATAGTGGAAACAGTGACAGACTTTATTTTCTCAGGCTCCAAAATCACTGCAGATGGTGACTGCAGCCATGAAATAAAAGACACTTGCTCCTTGGAAGAAAAGCTATGACCAACCTAAACAGCATATTAAAAAGCAGAGACATTACTTTGCCTACAAAGGCCCTGCCTACAAAGGCCCATCTAGTCAAAGCTCTGGTTTTTCCAGTAGTCATGTATGGATGTGAGAGATGGACAGTTTAAAAGGCTGAGTGCCACGGAATTGATGCTTTTGAACTGTGATGTTGGAGAAGACTCTTGAGAATCCCTTGGATAGCAAGGAGATCAAACCAGTCAATCCTAAAGGAAATCAACCCTGAATATTCACTGGAAGGACTGATGCTGAAGCTGAAGCTCCAACACTTTGGCCACCTGATGGGAAGAGCTGACTCATTGGAAAAGACCCTGATGCTGGGAAAGATTGAATGTAGGAGGAAAAGGGGATGGCAGAAGATGAGATGGTTGAATAGCATCACCGACTCAAAGGACATGAGTTTGAGCAAACTCTGGGAGATTGTGAAGAACAAGAAAGCCTGGCGTGCTGCAGTCTGTGGGGTCGCAGAGTTGGACATAGCTGAGCAACTGAACAACAACGATGTTGCCAAAACCAATGACTATATCTTAATTGACTCTCCCTAGGGTTAAAAAGAAAAAAAATCTGTCTCCTCCTTCTTGAAACACTGTCCTATCCTAGACTCCATCTAGTTTTCCTCTGTCATCTCTTCCCTCTCCTTTGTTATTCTTTTTAGCATTCTGTTTTTCAGACCTCTTAACAATGCAGAGTCCTGAGCTCTTTTCTATCCAAATACTCATCCAATCTTGTGGACTGAAAAACCCTAATTACTTCCAAATTTGTATCATAGACTGTACTTCTCCCTTTATTCCTGAATTCATAAATAACCAATGCTTTTTGACATCTCTGCTAGGATTTCTAACAGTTTCCCACATCTAACATAATCAGAAATCATGTTTTCCTTCCTCCAAAACTAGTTCCTTTCCTTGAAGCCCCCATAGCACTATCTCTGCTCAAGCCCAAGCCCAGGAAACATCATGAACTCTTCTCTTTTCCTAACCTCCCAATCTGATTAATCAGCAATCCTGGCTATTATATCTTCAAAAAAATTCTTGATTCTACCACTTTTTTTTTTCATTTAGCCCTATAACTCACACACACACACTCCTACTCCCAGCAGACCATATCGCATGATGCCTAGAGCAGTGGTCCCCAACATTTTTGGCACTAGGGATTAGTTTCTTGGAAGACAATTTTTCCATGGACTGGGGAGGGGGGCTGGTTTCGGGATGATTCAATACATTGCATTTATTGTGCACTATATTTCTATTATTATTACATCAATTTCACCTCCAAACATCAGGTCTTAGATACTGGGGATTGGGGACCCCTGGCCTAAGCACTTTACTTGTTCTTCCAGATATAGTCTTGAGCTTTCTCTAAATCATCACCTACATGTCAGCAAAAGACAGCTTCTTAAAACCAAACAAAAGTCTTGGTTAAATCCTTGAAAGCCTTCAATATTGCACAGAAAAGAAAAATCTTACCCCTCCCTCTGGTCTTTCAGGTGCTTCATGCACTGGCCCCCACCTTATTTTCTGATCTCCTTCCCATTTAGTCAACCTTCCCATGTTCACCACTGTCAGCCACGATTCTTTTCCTACCCTTTCCTGCCTCGGGACCATTGTACATGCTGCCTTCTCTTCCATGGACGCCTTTACATGGCTCATCCTCACTCATCATGCAGATCTCAGCTCTAATGGTGCCCCCAGAGAAGACTGGTTCTGTTTTTTCCTTTTTTACACCATAAAAGTATTATGTCTGTAATGTTCAATGTATTTCTACTTAACATCCCAATAAATGTTTATTAAAATTGTTGAAAAATACACGGAAATTAGGTTTACAACCTGCAGATAAGTAAGTGAGCTTTACTACAGTTATTCATTCACCCTAGGAAAATCACACTACAAGGAAATTCAAACCAGCCAATGTGAACTGAGTAGCTCAGAACCCATTTCTAGGTCAGGTTTTTATCCACAAAAGCAATGCATGCAAGATATGAACATGACATCAAGAAAATGTAAGGTAACTACGAAAAAAAAAACCCACTCTCTTCTCATATATTTTTCTCATCAAGTTGGTTTACTTGCAATATGATTTACTTTTTGGTTTCAGAACTTCTGTCATTTTGAAAAATTAAAAACAATTATGATTTTTAAGTGGATATTACAATCCAGTGTTTTGTAATGTGTACAGAGCAGCATTATGGAGAAAATGGTTTTAAAAATCACCTCAAATATGTGCTACAACAGAAGTACCAATTTCACAGAAATTTAAAATATGAGATGTCTCGGTTTTCTTATACAAATAATGCCCCCAAACCACCCAAGCACTAAACTTTTTTCTTCAAATTAGTAAGAGAGCAGAAATAGAATAGAAGACAAATAGAATAATGTAAACTAAGAATATGAAGGACTATGACAGCATCATTATTTGATATAATATGAATTTTGATAGGCACTGCTATAAGCATATTTACGTACCTTGGACATTCAACTTGATTTTGCCCAAGGCTGTACCAGCTGGATTCTGAGCCACACACATGTAAGTGCCAGCATCCTCTCTGACAGCTCTGGAGATCTGCAAGCCGCCACGGGGAAGAACTGCATGGCTTCTACCTACGTCATGGTTATTAGAACAGGGTTAGAAGAATTTTTACTTTTGTTAAAAAAATTATACTGACTTCTGAATGATAAAACTGATTGTCATGATTGTCTTGAGAGAAACAGTACCTGAACTGATGACACTGATGCCTTCTTTTTGCCAAGTGATGAAAGGACCGGGTGTCCCTGTTGCTTCACATGGTAATAAAATGGGATTGTTTAGAATGACGTCCAGCTCACTTGGCTGAGGCTGAATGACTGGAGGCTCTATAAGAACCAATCAACAGAAATGTTGCAAGGACACGAGTTAGTGGCATAAATGTCTACGGTACCTATAAGGTTAAACCTGTCTGAATTCATAATTCCAAAATATTAGTGATTTCATTGCCCCAAGGAAAAGCACATATCAGCTGCATCACGTTGCTTTTTGAGTCTTGTTACTATAGCCAGTTTCCTTTAGAAGAACTCCAGAGAAAAGACTAAAATCAGAAGCAGATCGTAAAAATTCAACGAAAATAATTTAGAGGTTGTTCAGTGTGGTTTGTCATCTGTATGCTTTCTTTAGTCTGCTGAAGAATATCTATCAGCTTTCATGTCCCCAAAATATTACTGTGGTTTATGACCCTAGACAGGACCATCTTTGAAGAAAAAAACATGACTTAAAGAGATAACAGCAAGATTTTAATGACTAAGTACCCTTTCATACCTTGGACATGAAGGCTCACATGTCGATGTGCAGAACCAGCTGAATTCCTGGCAACACAAGTATATCTTCCAGCATGGCTTAGCTGAGTGTCATGTATTTCAATTGCTCCTAAAAAGGAAAGAAGAATTTCATGCATAGGACATCCCTCTTTTTCTGGTTTGATAAACCATGTCTCTCTGATTTTTGTGTTTATGCCCCCCTTGCATGGGGGTACTTGGCTTGTAGTCCTACTTGTATTCCCTGTGCCTACCTAGCACAGAACCTTTTTTTTTTTCCTAGCACAGAACTTAAAAAAAAAAAAAAACCCACACCATTAACAGCTTTTTTTAGGCAAATTTTCAGACTATAAAATTCAGCCATTTAAATGTACAATTCAATAACTCCTGACATATTACAGACTCCTGCAATTATCACTGTTTAATTTTAGAACATTTTCATTATACCAAAAAGAAATCTCACCCCATTTATAGTCCTGCCTCACTCAACCCCAGAGATCACTAGTTTACTTTCTGTCTCTAAATACTGACCTCTTCTGAATATTTTACCTAGATGGGATCATACTGAAATCTTTTGCGTCTTACTTCTACTGTGAGCATAGTTTTTGAGCTGCATCTGTTGTAGCATGTGTCAGTATTTTTGTTCCATTTTATTGTTAAATAGAATTCCATTGTGTAAAGTGATCCCCATTGTTTATCCATTAACCAGTTAACGGAAATTTACACTGCTTCTCATTTTTGGCTATTGAGAAGATTGCTATATGAATATTTGCATACAAATCTTTGCGTGGACAAATGTTTTTATTTCTCTGGGGAGATACCTAGGAGTGGAGTTCCTGGGTCATAGGGTAACTCTTTCTGAGAAAGTTCTAAACTGTTCTCTTAGCACAGTACTTTGTGGTGAAGAGTAGTTAATTAAATTTTATGATTTTACTTGCTACCCATCTATGCAGATTTCTGAGATAGCCAACATACTTTGCTATGAAAGCCAAGTTCATCTTTCATTATTTTCCTTCTTTTGAAGAAATAAATTCTCTTAACATAAGACGTACATACTCATAAAGCCCCAGGATGTTCAGGATCTTAGTTGCTACTTTTTATCTCCAGTGTATCTCCTCAATGCAGGATGAATTTTCAGAAACACAAATGTGAATCACCTGCACTTTCATTTAGGTGAATTATTTTTTCTTTTTAATACATAAAAATTGCAGAGCTTAAATTTTATTAATGGTGTTTACAACCACCCTCAAAAAACAGCCACATCATAACACACACCACCCAAACTTACTTGTTAAATTATAGAAAACTTGAAAGCAAGAACCCTGTCTTAGTTTTAGATCCTCAGAAATTTAGTGGAGTACATGGCCCATTTTAGGTACTAAATGTTTATTAAATGAATGGACATTCTATTTGGCCAAAGAGGTGTGGTTCACCCAAAGGCAACCAGTAAAAATTTTAAACCATGTTGTTGTTTAGTTGCAAAGTTGTGTCCGATTCTTCTGCGACACTATGGACTGAGCTTTCCAGGTGGCCCAGAGAGTCGAGTGTCTGTCTGCAGTGTAGGAGATGAGTTTGATCCCTGGGTTGGGAAGACCCCCTGGAGAAGGAAATAACCCGCTCCAGTACTCTTGCCTGGAGAACCCCATGGACAGAGGAGCCTGGCGGGCTGCAGTCGATGGGTTACAAAGAGTCGGACATGACGGACTGAGTGACTATCGCACACGTGCGCTGCAGCCCGCCAGGCTCCCCTGTCCATGGGGTTTCCCAGGCAAGAATACTGCAGCGGGTTGCCACTTCCTCCTCCAGGGGATCCTGCCAACCCAGGGACTGAACATGCGGCTCCTGTAGCTCTTGCATTAGCAGGCGGATTCTTTACCACTGAGCCACAGGGAAGCCCTTCCAAACCTTAGGTTTAGAAAATATGCAGGTAAAATCTAAGTGGTCATGCTGAATACATGTGGATAAGTTTTAGATATTATTATTTTGTTTTTAGGTTTTTTTCTACCCCTTTCCCTCATTGCCCTCCCCATCCTAACTGAATTTTTTCCCAAATGCCTAAGCCTAGGAATATCGATATATTTTTTTCTTTTCTTCTGGTGCAACAAAAGTCCAAATAAGGCCATCCATTAGTAACTAACCCAATCAGTATCTGTGTATTCACTGAGCTGGGTCTTACCTGAGGACAGAATTCTATAGCCCTCTCCTCTGGGAAGCAGTCTTATACCATTCTTCATCCAGTGAATTGAGGGAAACGGAACTCCTGAAGCGGTGCAGGTGATCACTGTCGGGGTGTGTGTGGTTACTAGGAAGTCTGTAGGCTCATCAGCAATGGAAGGTGGAACTAAAAAGCAACAACAAAAGGAAAGAAAACTACATGTTTCCAACCCTGACATTTCCAAAGCCTACTCATGTATCTTCCTCTTTCTACATTGAAAGTGAATGTTTGGTAAGTGGGACAGGAAGCCCCTTTGTGAAGTGGTGAAAAGAAATGATATCATTGTAATAACTTTCAGTCCACATACTAAGCCAGTTCTACCTTGGACAGTGAGATCCACAGTTCTCTTGTCCTCTCCGGCATCATTTGTCACCGTGCATTCATAGGTCGCAGTGTCATCCACAGAAGGGGAAATAATTACTAGTGAACCTGAAGAAAGGAGCCTAGAAGAGAGATTTCAAAGCAATGAGGTGCTATATATCAGTTTTCACAAATGTTTCTAGTTGGTTCAACATGGTACCATGTTGTGAACTGAGGGAAAAGGAACTCTTTCCTAAAGTGAGCATCATTTTATGTATCAAACTTTAAGTTTATATGGCAGTGAGTTAACAGGGCCTCAGCCTCAACATCTGCAGGAAGCAGTGGTGTGGAATGATTGCCTTACGAGGTAATCCTGCATCTTCTGAATGCTGATAGCATGACCAACCATGCTCTCCTAGGTGAAATACAGTGAAATGAGCACATTTGATGATAGCCGCTATTTACTGACCACTGAATACATTCTTGGTACTATGTCAAATGTTTCACATAGATTATCTCTAAATTTCACACTAACGTTGCAGCTTGGTATTTGATTATTTCCACTGACCGATAGGTAACTACAAGTCTGTCTTGCATCTTTCCCTACTTCACACGTCTCCTTAAATGTGGTAGATACCTTGGAGATACATAGCACATAAATTAGAATCTAACTTGAAATAAACTCAGAACTTAAGTTATCTGAATCACTTCAAATATACAAAAGGCTGAGTAAATACATATACATTATTTAAAGTAATCTAAATAAGAATATCTGTTTTCTTACCTCAAAATGTGCACTGATGACTGGGAATAATTTGATTCAGTGGGAACATATTTGACCTGTTTTTAAACTCAAGGGCATTGGCATTTTCCACATAGAGTATACTTTCAAGTCATTAAACCCCCAATGCCAAAAGATTAAAAGGATGAGAAAGAGACAGACACAACAGATTTTCAAGTGAAACCCTCCTAATTTCACATTTCCAGGTGTAACAGAATGGATTTTTATCAGGATAGGTCTATGAAAACTCTTGTTTTTAGTGACAAGGCAAATCTTTTGACAAGATATCTATTAACTTGAGATACAAGAAATGATGCTCATCTAAGGAATCAGAAATCCACAGTATTTTTAAGGTTAGCCTTTAAAAATATGATATCATAGTAAGAAGAATGGTAGTAAAGCTAAAAGAGTACAGAAAATTGGAGAAACTGCTATTCTTCATCCTTATACGTGCTGCCAAATACATACACTGTATTTGAAGGTATAAAATTTGATTTTTATTCTTCAACTAAAACTTGTATTATTTTTAAAGAGCACTTTTTCTTTTCTACCAATTGATGTTTTATCCTTTGTCATTATAAAAGTACAAAAGGTGCTAAAAACACCAGCAGAATGGAAATCTAATGCTACAAAGCTCACTGACAGTTATCCACAGGGCTTATGGAAAGAGAAGTTGTACCTATAATTCAGAAAAAATACTTTAGATTGAAAAACTAATTCAATACTAAGAAAAAAATAATACACTCTTTACATACTAGCTAGTTCATACTTTATATATTTTCTGTCCCCACTGATAAAGTGAAAATGTTAATTCTTTGAAAAATAGGTTTCTAAATTGCTGGTGGAATTTTCCAGGTAAATTCCTCCTTACCTGTATGAATTCTGATTTTGATCCACATTCAGAAGATGCCCGTTTTTCCTCCAGTTGACTGACGGTTTCGGTATGCCAGTAGCCTCACAAGCCAGAGTGGTTTGAACATTTACTGTTACAGTTATGTTGGTAGGACCCAGAGCAATGGATGGAGGAACTAAAAAAAAGTCACCAAATAAGAGAGAAAACACATTCAGCAAACAGTATGCCATTTGAAGTATCTCTGCCAAACTGAAATTAATCACTGATAACTTACTTTACATTTATGAATACAATAAGGTTCTCTGAACTTACACAGTGCTGTGATAATGCTATTCACCATGAGCCTTGATTGTTCATAACAGCACTGGACCTGAAGGTCTTTGTGCTATGACCTCACTGGTTTAGGCAACCAAAGAACATTTAACTCTAAGACTGGATGTTGTTCATAAACGTATATTTACCATGGACCTGTAAGTCTATTCGCCTGCGATCTGTCCCAGCAGCATTGGTAGCCATACACAAATATCGCCCACTATCAGTCACTTGTGCCGACTGGATATGAAGGAATCCATTTTCCAAGATGGAGTATCTACAAGAAAGATCACACGTGAAGGTCTCTGAATGAGTCTTTCTGATTATGCACATTTTAACTGAGAGCATTTTAAAAGACTCAGTTATCCATTTTTAGTCCTTTTCCTGCTTCAGAAATTTGTAATACCCTTGGTAGAAAAAAAGGATATTCTGCAAAGAGGTATAGCAGATGGACTTATGATCTTGGATACATTATAACCATTACATTTTAGATGCAAGCCCTTAGGAATTAGGGTTAGGGTTTTAAAATACTGAATTTTGATTCTCATATTAAGATGAAGAGACTAATTTTAGAATGAAAAGACTCAAATAATGCATTGGATCAAATATTTAAAAACTTACATTTCAGTTCCTACAGTGTTTTTCATCCTTTTCTAGTTACCTTGCATGAGTCCCAGGTAGAACAGCTCCATCCTTTCTCCATGTTATTCTTGGGGTTGGCACACCTTCCACAAAGCATTCCAATACAGTTGACTTATTTAAGTGAATGACAAGACTCTGGGGGCCACTCTTTATGCTCGGAGGAACTGTAAAAGAGATGCATGTGGAAAATTTCATTTATATCAGTAACACAGCCTGAACTAAGACTGACTAGGTAATAATACAAGCTGAGATTTGAGTCAAATATATGGCTTTGCCTACAGCTAATTCAGGTTAGTATAAATAGAATTGGGGTTGAATTCCTAAAACCTTATTCAAGATAAGATTTTATTTAAAAATTTACACAAAAGTGAAGAGTTAATAGTGGGGAAAGAAAGTGAAAGTTAAGTTGCTCAGTTGTGTCCGACTCTTTGTGACCCATGGACTGTAGCCCACCAGGCTCCTCCATCCACGGGATTCTCCAGGCAAGAATACTGGAATGGGTTGCCATTTCCTTCTCCAGGGGATCTTCTCGACCCAGAGATCAAACCCAGGTCTCCTGCATTGCAGGCAGACGCTTTAACCTCTGAGCCAATCCTCTTCCCTAATAGAAGACGGCTTTAAATCCCTGATATGGTGTGTGAAGGGCTTCCCTTGTGGCTCAGCTGGTAAAGAATCCACCTGCAATGTGGGAGACGTGGGTTCGATCCCTGGATTGGAAAGATCCCCTGGAGAAAGGAAAGGCTACCCACTCCAGTATTCTGGCCTAAAGAATTCCATGGGCTGTATAGTCCATGGGGTTGCAAAGAGTTGGACATGACTGAGCAACTTTCACTCACTCACTCATGGTGTGTGAAATCTGTCATTTCTAAGGAAGAGGCTTGAAAAGAGTAAAAAAAATACAAAAACAAAAATCAGCTCTGGTATGATACAAATTAAAGATGATATTTCTTATTTCTCTCTGGCCAAATAATGGTCAGAGAATGTTAACACTGGAACAACTTCACTTTAAATAAAGCTTAGAAAGTGGGCTGTTTTAAAAAAACACATCTGTGATTAATCATGCAAGTCTCAGAGCATGTATTTTACTAATCACTGAGTTCACATGGGAATAGAAAACTTGAATTTTAATTTTAGTGTTAGAGATATTAACTGCCTGGGTCATCCAACTTGTAAAATTTCATCTATTAAAACATCAGATGAACAGTTTTAAAAAGTTAGTGTCATATTCCTGAAATTTGACAAATTTTAGTGTTTAGATTTTATATTTGAGAAAATTACAGTTCTATGGCAGTCTCTGTCTAGCACATATATAATCAAACCCCAACATCAATAAAAGTGACTAAATAATTGGCTACTTGTCACCCAGAGATTTAGTGTATTAACTTCTCCAGTGGCTCTGATCTGAATGACACAAAACAACAGAATATGCTGATAACAACTGGGCACATATTGTTCTCTAGGAGAAATGTATCTTTAATTATATTTTTGAAGTTGAGTTAGCTTGAATATAGCTATAGCACAAATGTCACACGCTGTCTATGTCAACAGAAATAAGGACAAGAATTTGTTTAGTATGCTCATAAAAAACAAAAATGTGATCTCTTTGAATGTCCTGTCTAAATTTTTAGATTGTGGAACAGTGGTTAAGAGTTCTTACCATTGACAGTGAGAATAAACTCTCTTGTAGTCTTTCCCGCAATGTTGCTGGCAACACAGGTATAATTGGCTGTATCACCTAGATCTGCGTTATTAATTTGCAAGTATCTCCCTCCAGATAGGATTCTTACTCGAGGTGTTGCCTGGATTCAACAAGTAAAATTTACCATTAAAATGTCAGGAAAATGAAATAAGAATCATCAAAAGTAACTAAATAGTGAACTGTAACATACCTGTCTCCCAGTATCTTTGTCTGCTCCCCCTACTACTATCCAGGTATCAAAAACTCTTGGGAGCTATCTCTATGAGTATAGTTAAGGCAAGAGCACAATCAGTGTCTCTGGTTCTTCACTGTGACGACCACAGTGATCCACTCAAGGATGGAAAAGTGTTTCAAGTTGGGCCCATGGGAGCTCCCTGCAGGACACTTCTGAAAGTGTTGGAATAAGGCATATTTTTACTGGAATCTGATAGTGAGGATGACATAGGCTGGTGGCAGTTGTACCACCATGTGTGGACAACTTGCTATGAATCTAAGACATAAGCAGAACTGAGATAAAGAAGGACAGAGATGTTTGACTACATAATTAGAGCCTTTGGATAATGCCTAAAGCTTAAGTTCACTAATTTTTATTGCTAATATCTTCCCCCTGCTCCCAATTAAGTTGTTTACAGTTTGAAGCCTGTCACTTAAAGCTGAAAGTTTCCTGATAATAAATTAACTTTGGTTAACTTAAAGGAAACAATTATCCTTCAACATTTAAAAAATAAGTAAATAAATGATTTTAGTCTGCAAATATTTGTTAAGCATATATTTTGTGTCCAGGCATGGGACCAAAAATTATGAAACTATAGAGATCTATATTGAGAGGAAATACTGAAATATAGTGATATCTACTCTATTATGTCCAATTAGGATTGTTCATAAACTTTTAAAAAAATGCCAGGTAGCAACAAAGGCTGATATTTTCTGGTTGTGCCAAAGTGGATCTACTTCAGGAAGAGTCCAAATGAGATTTTTCTACCATATGGGTTCTGTCCCAGATAAACATATATTTCTAGTGAAAAAAGTTGTTCACACTAAGATGTACAGTTCAGGTCAATTTATCTTTAAAGTCCACACGTTATCTGTAGGCCTTTAATTGCTACAGGGGCCATTAGTGGTAAATTTTTATTATTTCTAATGAGAACAGGTGATTTTTTCAACATACATGGTAAGTTCTACAAAACATATTTTTAATTTTTAAGTTCAATATGGGTATAGCAGGACCTTATGCTAATAAAAAGTTCTGAGTTGATTTTCATGTCTTTCTTCCATGAATATCAGTAAGTTCTGCTAATTTACTCAGTCTCACTATACTTTCTCTGGTTATCTTCCCATTGACTGCCAGTGATTCTTCCAATTTGATTTCTTTCCTTAGACAGAACCTTATTCTGAGCAGATGACCCTGTTTCCTACTCCACTGAGAAAATCAAAGCCAAGAGCCTGCAATTTCTCCCTCTCCTCTTGCATATGAATGCATCCTTCCTTCCTACATTTCCTTTTCTGTGGAAAAAGGTCATCCCTCAGTCCAAGGCTAATCTCTTCATCTGTCACCAGGGTCCCATCCTTTCCTTACTCAACACACTTGCTTCTCTATCTTCAAACTCTTTTTAGTAAATAAGAATATACAAATCTCTTTTGTATTTAAATAATAGTCCACAACCATTTCCACTTCCTCTTCTTTCACTCCCCCAACAACTGTAACGTGTCTTCTACTTCGATCACTCTACTGAAGTTTGCTTACATCTTGAATCACATCTGTGTATTACCCAAAGCCAATAAATACAACTTTCTTTGTATCTTGCCATGAACTCTGTTAACTGCTCCCTCTCTATTTCTTGGCTTTCGGTACACCAATTTCTCCAAGTGCTCCTTCTCAGTCCCACTTTTCTCCTCTTTTCCTTTGCTCACCTTTTAATCGTCAATATTGCCGTAGGCGTTACTCTCATTTACAAGTCTTCTGACACCACGTGCTTTCTGGTTGACCTCATACAAACCTACAGCTTCAACAACAGGCTATACTAATGAGGACCACCAAATCAAAGATATTTTTGAGTAAATATGGACCCATATTTCTTGGAATTTTCTGGAATTTCCATTTGGATAATATATAGATAATTCAAACTCAAAATATCTAAAACTGAACTCATCTTTTTTTTTTTCATTTACTGTTGAATTCAGTCTGTCTACTGACATCACTTGGTCATATCTGAAATTAGCTTGATTTCTCCATCATTAATATTTACTCAGTCCCTGTCTGAATATCTAGTGGTCTAGAGTGAAATGCACACATGGAAGATAAGACAATGGAGGAAAAGTCAGAGCATGAAGGGCTTTGTAAGCAAAGCTGGGCAACTGAACCTGAAACCAGAAATCTATGGAGAATCATCAAAGGATTTTAAAGGTCTGCTTCAACCATACCAAGCTACCTGCAGTTCCTGAGACAACAGCATTCCTTTTCCTGTAATGTCTTTGTACATACTATCACCTATGTTTGGAGTCCCCTTCTTTCTCATCAAACATTTAAACTGAACTCACCCTTTCCAAGAGGCTCCCCTGGGCTATTTACCCTTCAGTCTGGGTTACCTGCTTCTTCCCACCGTTTCCCCTCTGTATATCCCTCTGAGATAAAATTTATCAGCAGTATCAGTTTCTATAATCTTCGACGCACTTCTGTATATTTTCAGATAGTCTGTGAGCCCCTTATGGGTCAGGATTCTTGTCAGGAGCAATCACAATGCGTACCATTACAGCAGGCGCGCAATAAACAGAGAAACTGAGGCATGGGGCTGTTAAGTGATATGCATGACAATTAAACACATTAGTAACTCTCAGAATCCAGTCTGTATTTAGTGTTTGTGTGATGTGATCATGGCTAAAGTCTCTCTGTCTTAGGTATTAGAGACACAATTTCCTTTTATTTAGACTCAGTGTATCACAATTGGTTATACTAAGAGGATGAGGAAAAAGAAGGATAAGTAACTACTGGGATAAGGACAATCTGAACATTCAAAGTCAAGGCTTAGAGCCAATCCTAAGAGGCATCACCAGAGCACAGGAGCCTCACAGAGCCAGTAACTGTGTTTCCAAAGATTTCAGTCTAGACTGCTGGTACGGGAAAGACTGCAGGCGGGAGGAGAAGGGGACGACAGAGGATGAGACGGTTGGATGGCATCACTGACTTAATGGACATGAGTCTGAGTAAGCTCCGGGAGTTGGTGATAAGACAGAGAAGGCTGGCGTGCTGCAGTCCATGCGGTCACAAAGAGTTGGACACGACTGCGTAACTGAACTGAACTGATACACCGATCCTTGGGGTTCCTGCTGAGGTGCAAGTTTAGATCAAGGAGAGTCAGTAACAGGTTTGCCCAGGGAATTGGCAAGACAAGTCAGTTCTTTCGAGACTTTGATGGTCTCTTTTCTTTCAAGAAAAGACACGAGTGTTTCAATCCAAGTTTAATTCACCAGCTTCAGGGGCTACATACTTAGGCCAATTTACAGAGTGTGTGAATCTAAATACCTGTCTTTTGACCTGTAACTAGCTACTACCTGCACCATCAAAGGCTGAGAAAGAAGGCTGACCACAGGACTCTGCGCTCAGCCCTGCAATGCTGAATGGCCAGTGGCCTGATGCTGAAGGGCTCGGTAGCTGGTGGTTTTCCTGAAAATGAATCTGTGGGGCTTGGCAAGACGTACCTGTAACCGCTCTCCATTTCTGAGCCAAGCGATTACAGGTGGAGGCACTGCATCCGACTTGCATTCCAATGTCACTTGTCTGTTCCGTAACACAGTGAAACCCTGGGGCTCACCAGTTCCAGCAATATTAGGGGGTACTGGGTGGGAAAACAGATGCACCGAAGGCTTTTAGTGAATGAGATAGAAAATGCTCTGTATTATTTTAAGTGTTCAACAGTGTCGTTTCTGCTGTATGAAAGAAGGAGCATAAACTTAAAATGCTGCTCATTCAATTTATAGTACCCTGATAACAAACAGTGAATTTTTTAAATCATACTCAGTACTTAAGTACCTTAAGTAATGAAATCCTTCCAATAGCCGCATGAATGATAGGATAAGTAACATAACCACATTTTATCACCATTTAATAGGTAAAGAAACTAAGGCCCAAAGAAGGGATTTTTTTTTTGTCCAGGTCTACACTTGGTAATAATTTTCTCTGAACATATTTTAAAACTTTTAAATTAGGTTCTGTCTATCATAACAAACAGAAATATAGAGATTTTTCTTAATAAGCAGAAAGGAGGGCAAAAGAGGGGTAAGGAATTAAGAGGTATATACTACTATATATAAAATAAATAAGCTACAAGGATATAAAGGGAATAGAGTCAATATTTCATAATAACTTTAAGTGGAGTATAATTTATAAAAATTTTCAATGACTATGGTGTATACCTGAAACTAATATAATATTGTAAATCAACTATACCACAGTTTTAAAAGTGTATATATATATATTTTTTTTTTCATTTATTTTTATTAGCTGGAGGCTAATTACTTCACGATATTGTAGTGGTTTTTGTCATACATTGACATATGTGACTGCTGTATACACAATTTACATGTCAATTGGTCTAATTTGTGTGTAGGACTGGTGGGGGCAGGGGAACACTTACATTACACCAGTCCTACACTTTGGATTGCTTAGTGATTTAGGCTATGAGGAGATAAAGATCTTCTATTAAGTTCTTTAAATGTTCCTCTCTTTGAAGAGTAATTTCCAGCTCTATGTCAAAGTAAGACCAGCTACAGTCTAATTGGCCCAACTTTTCTGGAAGGTAATTTGGTCTTGAATATGTGTGTGTGTGTGTACATGCATATGCATATACTTACATATATTCAAGAAAGTGGACTTATAGAAATTTATTAAAATAATTAAAAATAGGCCAACACACTTATACAAGGATGTCTATAATAGTGCTGCTTATGTTGGTGAAAATACAGAAATAGCCAAAAATAAGGAATGTATTAAATAAGTAATGGTATGTTCATAAAATTATAAATCATGCAACTACTAAAAACTAACGTTATAAAAATATATATATTTTCGACATGAAAACATGTTCAACATGCCACTGAGATAAAAAGTTAAATACTGTATGCTGCATGATCATGTTCCTGTGACAATATTTATATGTAAAAAGGTCTTATTTTTGTGTGATGAGATTATGAATACTTTTATTTTCATTTTTACTCTAATTTATATTCTATGATTTAAAATCAATGAATATGAATTACTTGTGCAGGAACAAAACATATAACTCAAAAATCCATTAAACTACTCCCATGAACATATGATCAGTCAAATATAAAAATCAAATTTGCAAAATACATATTTCTTAATATATAAACATAGTTTTATGATGTGTTGGATAGCTGCCCTATCTTCCATAAATTATGCCTTTTAATTAGGTATAAGTGTATGATGGACTGTAGGACATTTTGCCAACGTTACCGTGCACTCTCACTAAATACTCTTTATCATCATCTCCTGCAGGACTGGATGCCAGACATGTATATCTTCCTGTATCTTCCACCTATAAAATTCAAATAAGTGAATTACACAAGGTTAACATGCTGGTTTTGATGATGAGAATAAATATCCATTAGAACAAATGTAAAGGACTCACACAAAGCAAGATATCATTAATATAGCACAATAATTAAAATTTAATAAATGTCTTAACATTTGTATTTAGCACTCTGATACTGAGCATGGCTCAGCATCTCTGCTACACGTAAATCTATGTATCTGACATAGACTTAAGAGGGTTTCAGGGCACCTGTTCCCACTAAAATCTCTTTTTTGTAAAAAAAAAAACAAAAACAGGGTTTCAGTATTTGATCTCAGAATGTTTGCATGTTATATATGTTAATGATGTCAGAAAAGGCAGATACATATAGAACACAGCACCATATATGACACAAATACTACTCAGTATTTTTTGAAGAAGTATTTATGAATATAAATTGCAGATTGCAAAATTCTACTGGAGGCTTCCTGAAGCAAGTAAAATACATTAACCAACCAACCAACCAACCAACCAAAGTAAATAAAAATCAGGTTATTTTAATAAAGAACATTAATACCATATTTTTAATATTCCTTGATATACACAGTGAAACAATATAGCTATGTTATGTAATTTGGCTGTAAATAGGTCAGGCTGACAGAAAAATCTACTATTTTCTGACTAAAACCAGAACCATTTCTTTAAAAATCCCCATGCATGGTTTCCACTGAAGTGTTAGACTTTATTCATATTTGACATTGTGTAAACACAGCCCATGCTTAAATAAGTGAAAAGTATACACTGAAAAACATATGATCTTACTACTGTGAAAAACATATTTTGAAAAAGTAGAAAATCCTGTTTTCATCTATTACTTGAATACTCCTAGAATATTGAGAATTTTAAAATTCTTACATTCAAAACTGACTTAAAAGTAAGGTGCACAGACTCCACTGAAAAAATTTTAGATTAGGATGTTAAGACTAGTATATCTGGAAAATTACTAAATATAACTTTAGAAGAGTGACAGTCACATTGTCCTTCAATTAAAGAATTGAAAGGGATGCACTACTGCCTGGAGAATAATTTCAAAGTTGCTCATCATATCTTGAAAACCTCTAAAAGTCAGTTCTTCTCCACCAATACAGTCTATTCCCCAATTACATTGCCCCCTCCACTTGCCCTGACTCAGCCAAACTTGCACCATCATTCATGACTGTTCTTAGATCTTACCTCCTCCAAGAACCATTTCCTGACAATGTACACCCTTCTGAATATTGGTAATTACTACCAGTAGCTACATTTTCTAATGTGTGTTCTCTTAATAGGGTGTTTGAAAAATTATAATTCATCGGGTTTTTTAGGGAAAGATTTTGCAGTTATTGACATGCATTATGGCTCACAAAGGAGAGAAAGGTACAGTATATAGAATTTTTCTAACCTGTTTTGTCACAGAAGGAGAGTTTGATGGAAAATGTCTTAGCAAACTCTCATCTTTCACCACACAATTTGGAATTTGCAGAATATCCATTATGTACCAGGCATAATTATGTGCAATAGATACATACACAAAAAGACAAAGTTCAGGTAACTAAGGTATAAATTTAGTAATAAGGGCTCTGACCGAGATAAAATAAAACACAGAGGAGCAGAGGAACCACTAGCAGTCTTGGGACTTGATAATATTTAATTTTTTAATTCTATAAGGTTTTAATGGTTTTCTATTGTTCCTTTTCCTAATTTTATCATGTGTGTAGTTTTACTTTTCTTAGACAACTGAAAACTTCTTGAAGGCTGAGAAATGTCTTATGTACTACATTTGTGTTCTTCACAGGAGCTAGACTATGTGGGTCACTGTTTAACTCTTGATGGAAACTCTGTCCTGTTTAACATAACGTTTCATTTTCACATTTAAGACCTAATGTAATGTGCCCTCAATCTTTCCTTAGAGCTTTATTTACCATGATTCCTTTATATTTATGGTTCCAGTGCACACTTCACTGTCTCCATGCTATTCCTTAAGTTACAAAATTCTTTTGCTTCCCTTTTGGTCAGTTGAAATTATAGCATTCAAGTATTTTGATTCAGCAAGTGGTTTGATAGTGTGACCTGAGTTTTCTCTGGGTTGCTAAAATGCTTGATGGAGAGAAGAGGGAAATGGAAGGTGTGTTCTCTTTAATGTTAGAAACAAGAAACTTGGCTGACTTCCACTGGCTACGCTGTTGAACCAGACCCAGGACTGAGACCAGTTCCATCACTGAGCAGTGATAAGTACTGGACAGGTGAATACTTCATCCTTCTCTGTTTCTGGATTTGTAGAAAGGGGATAAAGACATTGCCTCACCAAGTTGTCATGGTAGCCATGGGTGTGATAGAGCTCACAGCCCAACATAAGACTGATGCAATTCATAATCCTCAGCTCTCTTTTCTAGCTCCCTTTCTTTTCTGTTTCCTCAGTGAAAATATACATGAAATATGATTAAGATGGCAGAGGATGAGATGGCTGGATGGCATCACCAACTCGATGGACATGAGTTTGGGTAAACTCCGGGAGTTGGTGATGGACAGGGAGGCCTGGCGTGCTGTGATTCATGGGGTCGCAAAGAGTCGGACACGACTGAGCGACTAAACTGAACTGAACTGACTGAATGTGAATACCTTTAAAGCAATGATGATTATAATAACAATAAAAGCAGCAGTAACAATAATCATTTTAACTCCATTTCAGCACCTCTCCATGCCTGTGGCATCAGTCTAAGCACATTACTTTAGATTATCTCTAAAGCCCTAAGTACATAAGTTCAGTATTGTTCCTATGTTCATCCCCAGTTAACAGATGAAGGCATTAGGGAACATACGGATAATATTTGTAACATAAGATTTGCCTCTGTTTGCAGAAGAGTATATTGTTACAATAAGACACCCTGAGACATACCTCTCTTTAATATATTTACATTTCAGATTAATTTCCTTAAACATAAACTAAAAGAACAGTCAATTCTATTGAATTGACCATTTTTGGAAAAATTCCATCTCTTCAGATTTTCATGTCTGTGAGTTTATTCTGAAGATCAAAAGTTCCCTTTGAAGACTCTTATACACATACATTTGACTGCTCTTTGCCATTTCTATAAAGGGCTACATGGCACAAATCAAGAGCTTCAGAAAATACACTATCACTTATGGCACTGTGAAAACTTGAAAAAATTAATATGAATGTTTCTTGCTTTCTTCTATATTTAATCTGATAATTTTACTTCTTCACTTTAGTCATGTTACCTTGTAAGTGTCTATTCAGTCATGCATGTCATAGAACAAATCTACCCTTGCTAAAGTCACAGAGATCTACGATATATTCAGACTCCAAGACAATTTCTCCAATACTGTCCAGAGATTAGCAAGTAAGAAGTTTAACCGAGGACAAAATAATCATATGAACTCTGAACTAACCTGAGTACTAGATATTCGAAGAACCTCTCCTCCTCCAAGAGTCTGCATCTGATCCATTTGTGGAAGGGGTCGACCATCTTTCATCCAGGTAATCTTAGGAGCTGGGATTCCAGAAGCCATACAGGTAAGTTCAAGAGGATTATTAACAATTACTGACATTTCTATGGGTTCTTCAGATCCATTGATATGAGGTGGTTCTATTTAAAAGGAATTAAAGACAACAATAAAATAAACTTGCTGTTTGATAAGATACTGCAGTTTAGAAAAACTCTAAGAATTCAACTCAAATTTATCTTTGTACAATACAAATTGATTCAGACAAAATACCAAAATGATAATTCCTTATTCATTTTGGTATTATTAATGAGATGTTATTTGTCATTGGCACTATTTTATTTTACTGTAGTTTAGTTTTAGTCGCTCAGTTGGGTCCAGCTCTTCGTGACCCCATGGATTGGGGCCCGCCAGGCTCCTCTGTCCGTGGGATTTTCCAGGCAAGAATATTGGAGTGGGTTGTAATTTCCTTCTCCATTACTGTAGTTTATTGAGGAACAATTTATTAAGTGTCAGCACTATATAAAGTCTGTGTGCGTTATCTTTTCACTGGCACTATTTTAAAAGAGACAGATCATTCTTATAATAGATCATGAAGTAAATGGCAAGCCATCATAGGTAATTAAAGCTCAGCAACTGAGATTCAGATAATTAGAGCAGTTTTACTTAACTGAAGATTTGAAAATGATAAAAACTGAACCCATCTTGTACTATTTTTTAAAGAGTTACTTAAATATAGTAGTGTGTTTTTGCACCTTTAAAATATCTATTGTTTCTGCAAAAGCAATGAGCAAATGCTATGAAATTTTGCGATCATCTTTTCCATGCAGAACTTTAAGATGAAACAAGGACTAAGCAGAAGAAAAACAGTTACATTTGGAGACTCTTTCTGCATAAAACACATTTGTTATGTCTGGGCAGAAATAATATCCTCTTTTGTTATTTATACTTCTAAATTACCTTTCTCAAGAGGATGTTAAAGAATCTAAACACTTGGAGGAAACATTAAAGTTTCCTAGTCCAGCTATTCCTAAGTTTAAGAATCACTTTAAAACAGATTTCCCTTACACTAATCATTCAAATTTTCTATGAAACTTTCCAGCTTACTATTTCACAAGGCAGCAAAAATAGCTGTTGGACAGCTCCAAGGATTAGCTGGGTGTGTGTGTCTGTGCACATGTGTGTGTGTTTTAAATCAGGCACATAGTTTAGAGCAGAGGTTCACAGTAGGAGACAGAGAATCTGGAATCAAACAGCCTGATTTTGATTCCTGGCTCCAACAATTATTAGGTTAGTGTATTTGAACAAATCTTTAAAAAAAAATACCACACTATTATTTAACTAAGAGAATTGTGAAGATTCAATGAGATAATCTATAAAGTATATTTCTTTTGTGTTTCTGAATCTGTTTTGTAAGTAAAGGTTTATTAGTATAATAAAAACTTCTTAAGAAAGTTACAACTGCTACTAAGTATACTACATCTGTTGGTGTTATTATTAAAAACTGCCTCCTAGATTTCTTAAAAAACTAGGAATAAAACTACCATATGACCCAGCAATCCCACTACTGTTCATATACCCTGAGAAAAACCATAATTGAAAAAGACACATAATTTAAAAAGCAATCCCACCACTGGGCATATAGAATTGAAAAAGACACATGTTCATTGCAACACTATTTATAATAGCCAGGATAAGGAAGCAACCTAGATGTCTGTTGACAGATAGATGATAAAAAAGTTGTGGTATATATGATGGAATTCCATTTGAACTATTTCAAATCCTAAAAGAGGACGCTGTTAAAGTGCTGCACTCAATATGCCAGCAAATTTAGAAAACTCAGCAGTGGCCACAGGACTGGAAAAGGTCAGCTTTCATTTCAATCCTAAGGAAAGGCAATCCCAAAGACTGCTCAAACTACTGCCCAATTGCTCTCATCTCACATGCTAGCAGAGTAATGCTCAAAATTCTCCAAGCCAGGCTTTAACAGTACATGAACCGTGAAATTCCAGATGTTCAAGCTAGATTTGGAAAAGACAGAGGAACTAGAGATCAAATTGCCAACATCCGCTGGATCACCGAAAAAGCAAGAGAGTTCTAGAAGAACATCTACTTCTGCTTTATTGATTACACCGAAGTCTTTGACTGTGTAGAGCACAACAAACTGTGGAAAATTCTTCAAGAGATGGGAATACCAGACCACCTGACCTACCTCCTGAGAAATCTGTATGCAGGTCAGGAAGCACCAGTTAGAACCGGATATGGAACAACAGACTGGTTCCAAATAGGAAAAGGAGTACATCAAGGCTGTATATTGTCACCCTGCTTATTTACCTTAAATGCAGAGTACATCATGAGAAATGCCAGGCCGGATGAAGCACAGGCTGGAATCAAGATTGCCAGGAGAAATATCAATAACCTCAGATATGCAGATGATACTACCCTTATGGCAAAAATTGAAGAGGAACTAGAGAGTCTGTTGATGAAAGTGAAAGAGGAGAGTGAAAAAGCTGGCTTAAAACTCAACATTCAGAAAACCAAGATCATGGCATCCAGTCCCATCACTTCATGGCAAATAGATGGGGAAACAATGGAAACAGTGACAGACTTTCTTTTCTTGGGCTCCAAAAATCACTGCAGATAGTAACTGCAGCCATGAGATTAAAAGACATTTGATCCTTGGAAGAAAACTATGACCAACATAGACAGCATATTGAAAAGCAGAGACATTACTTTGCTGACAAAGGTCCGTCTAGTAAAAGCTATGGTTTTTCCAGCAGTCATGTATGGATGTGAGAGTTGCACTATAAAGAAAGCTGAGTGCTGAAGAGTTGATGCTTTTGAACTGTGGTGTTGGGAGAAGACTCTTGAGAGTCCCTTGGACTTCAAGGAGACCCAACCAGTCTATCCTAAAGGAAATCAGTCCTGAATATTCATTGGAAGGACTGATGCTGAAGCTGAAACTCTAATACTTTGGCCACGTAATACAAAGAACTGACTCACTAGAAAAGACTGATGCTGGGAAAGATTGAAGGCAGGAGGAGAAGGGGATGACAGAGGATGAGATGGTTGGATGGCATCACTGACTCTATGGACATGAGTTTGTGCAAGCTCTGGGAGTTGGTGATGGACAGGGAAGCCTGGCTTGCTGCAGTCCGTGGGGTTGCAAAGAGTTGAACATGACTGAGTGACTGAACTGAACTGATATATAGATATAGATGTAGATGTATATACACAATAGAATGTTACTCAGCAATAAAACAGAATGGATTTGAGTCAGTTCTAGTGAGGTGGATGAACCTAGAGTCTGTTAAGTAAACAAGAAAGAGAAAAGCAAATATCATATTAACACATATATATGGAATCTAGAAAAATGGTATTGATGAACCTATTTGAAGGGCAGGAATAGAGATTCAGACATAGAGAACAGACTTATGGACACAGCAGGGGTTGGAGAGGCTGGGACGAACTGAGAGAGCAGCACTGAAATACATACACTATCACATATAAAATAGCTAGCTAATGAGAAGCTGCTATATAACAGAGGGAGCTCAACCTGGTGGTCTGTGACAACCTAGAGGGGTAGGATGGGGTGGGAGGTGGGAAGGACCTTCAAGAGGGAGGGAACATTTGTGTACTTATGGCTGATTCATGTTGATATATGGCAGAAACCAACACAACATTGTAAAGCAATTATACTCCAATTAAAAATAAGTTTAAAAGTACTGCCTCCTAAAATTTGTAGCTATGGCTTTGTTTTCCTTTCTGGAAAAAGGTAATATATTATAATTAAGAACTCAGAGTTTCTTAACTATTGTCCCATATGACCACTCTTTTTCAGTTTTATCCATTTTATGATAATATTGTGGTCAAGATACATTTCCTTAAGTGCATTTTAGACCAGTCCAAGATTCCCTGTTTAAAAGATGTTAGTGTCTCCACGTTGCTCACTGAATTAAATAAAAACTCATCATGGTTTCCAAGACTTCTACAACATAGCTTCAATCTTTATAACATTATTTCTTTTTAATACACTTTATGTAACTTAGATTTCAAATTAGACTACTACTCTCCCTCAACAAGTTCAGTTGCCTCTCGCTCTACAACAAACTCTAAAATTTCAATCCCTTTCACAGCAACCCACTCCAGTATTCTTGCCTGGAGAATCCCGTGGACAGAAGAGCCTGGCGGGGTACTGTCCACGGGGTCGCAAGAGACAGACATGACTTAGTGACTTCACCACCACCACCAATATTCATCGTATGCTATTTGTGTCACTCAAAAGCATTGATCGGATTCTCCATTTGACTGTAGGCAATTCTTTATTCCTCTCACTTTTTTGTGATTTACTATGGGTAAGTCACTGTGGATACAAAGAGTAAGTAAGTATGGCCTTTATCCTCAAAAGATTATAGTACTAGATATAAAGACTCAGCAATGGCAGCAACAACAGAAACAGCATGTTTCCAACGGTTTCAAACCCCAGCCATCAGATCTCACGTGTGTTAGGTGATTGCAGACATATTTCACTCTGTATCTTGTGACTAGTGAAAGTTGCTCAGTCCTGTCCAACTTTTTGCAACCCCATGGACTATACAGTCCATGGAAAGCTCCAGGACAGAATACTGGAGTAGGTAGCCTTTCCCTTCTCCAGGGGATCTTCCCAACCCAGGGATCGAACCCAGGTCTCCCACATTGCAGGCAGATTCTTTACCAGCTGAGCTATAAGGGAAGCCAATTTGTCTTACACTTTGGGCAGGATAGAAATTGTCCATACTCTGATGACTCCAAAACTTACATCTCTAGCCTAGATCTCTTTTCTGGGCTCCAGATCCATATAACCAGTTACTAGATAAGAATCTTCAGTGGGTTCTTTGAAAATAACTTCCAGCTCAACATATACTCAGACTGAACCTGTGACAATATTCCTCAAAACCTGGTCCATTTCCAGCATTCCCTGCATTTATGTGATGAAACTGCCAATTGTTCAGTCACATAAGCCAGAAACTAGGTGTCATCCTTGATACCTTCTTCATCATCATCACTTCCCTACATCCAAATCCACAACCAAGTCTTAATACTTCTACCTGAAGTTATCTTTTGAGTACATCTTTCCCTGTCACCTCCATCACTAATCTGAGTT